TCGGTCTGCTAGGGTTTGCGTCTTCTGTTTGCGTTTAGCTCAGCCGCCGACTTCTCTCTTCGTCGACGGGGATCATGGGCGACGAATCATCATCAGACAAGAAAAACGGGAAGGCCGTCGAGATCATGCAGCCGGACGTGATTCTTCCATCGTCCCCTCTCTTCCTGCATCCTTCTGACGCCCCCAGCCAAGTTTTCGTCGGAGACTTACTCACCGACCTCAATTACAGTGAGTGGTCTGCCGAAATCTCTAATGCTTTCCTAGCCAAGAACAAGCTGGACTTTGTTCTTGGTACTGTTCCGCGACCCGCGTCTGGAGAATCGCTCGCTGCCTGGACACGTTGTAACGCCATGGTCGTCGGATGGTTGCGCAGCGCCATGAGCCGTGAAATTCGCAGCAGTCTCAGCACGAGTTTCACAGCGAAGGAAATATGGGATGAGCTAAAAGAACGCTTCACCACTGGGAATCTTCATCGCCGATACAAGCTTCGTCGAGAAATCACCACCCTCCGCCAAGATAAGCTGAATGTTGCCTCATTCTATGCAAAATTGAAGAGGCTATGGGATGATTGGTTCACACTCGATCCGCCGGCAAAGTGTACATGTGGCAAGTGTGAGTGCGATGTGGAAAGTCGCACACGAGCTTCCCAGGAGGACATGCGCTTCTTGGACTTTCTTCTAGGGCTTGACGATGGTTTTTCGGTTGTTCGCACACAGCTTCTTTCCATGAAGCCGACTCCTAGTCTCGGTGAAGCATACCACATGGTGGCTAATGATGAACAGCAGCGCCTTCTCACTGACTCCCGACCTCGCATCGAAGCTGCCGCCTTTCAGGGCAAGGGGGAGCAAGGTCGACGTGAGGAATCTCATACCGAGGGGCGTGAGCGCACTGATGAAGGGCGCCCATATTGTACTCACTGTCAAAAGCCAGGCCATTTCAAGGCCACGTGTTATGAAATTCATGGCTGGCCAACACGACAACCAGGTGACAGGCCGCGACGTCGTGGGAAGTCTGGCTGTGATCCGCAAGCTGCTGTGGCTGAAAGTGAACCAAGCTCTATCCCAGGTCTCTCTGCTGCCCAGGTCGCACAATTGCGAGCCTTTCTCGAGTCTGATGCTCAACCTGCCGCGAGCATGGCAGTAAATATGTCAGGTACGCAATCGTTTCGTTCTCGATCACCTACTATGAGTCCTTGGATTATTGATTCCGGTTGCAACGAGCACATAGTGAATGACAACTCTTTATTTGTGGGCGAGATAAAAACAGACTCACAATTGCAGGTCAGGATCCCTAATGGTAAAGGGGTTCCGGTACATGGTATCGGAATTGCACAGTTATCTAACGGACTTGTTCTACGCCGCGTTTTACATGTCCCAGACTTTCAGTGCAACTTATTGTCCGTTAGTCGACTTATTGCTGATCACTCTGTTGCTGTAGTCTTCTTAAAGAACTTTTGTGTAATTCAGGACTTGTGCTCCAAGAGGCTGATTGGGACGGGGACGTACCGTGACGGTCTATATTATCTCAAGGTCTTTGATGGTGGTCATCCGGTGGCGCTGTCGGCAAGGGAAGCAGTTGATACATCAGCACGTTGGCATTCCAGACTCGGCCATCCTGCTGATTCCAAGTTGTTGGCATTTCAGCCTTTTATCTCTAGTACTTTAGTTTTGAACAAGGACCCATGTGATTCATGTCTTCGAGCTAAGCAAACTCGTCTTCCTTTTGAGCATAGCCAGATTAAAACTACGTCATGTTTTGATCTTATTCATGTGGATCTTTGGGGTGGTTATCATGAGACTTCTTTTACTGGAGCTCATTACTTCTTGACAATCGTGGACGATTTCAGTCGTGCAGTTTGGGTGTTCTTGTTGAAATATAAATCCGAAGCAGCACGTTATTTGTTGGTTTTCTTTAATCAGGCTCGAACGCTGTATGGGAAATCAGTTCGCCGGATCCAAACAGATAACGGGCGTGAATTCACTACTCCAGAGTTGCGTGACTACTACGAGAAGGAAGGAATCATTTTACAAACCTCTTGTATCAACACGCCGCAACAAAATGGGGTGGTGGAGCGCAAACATCGTCATCTCCTTGACACAGCTAGAGCTTTGCGGTTCCATGCAGGCTTGCCTCTACGTTTTTGGGGTGAATGTGTGTTAACTGCTGCATATCTAATCAATCAGATGCCACTTGCTCCTCTTCACGACAAGAGCCCATATCAAGTCTTGTTCGATTCGCCGCCCAGGTACGATCACCTGCGTACCCTTGGCTGCCTTGTATACGCCAAGGACACTCACCACCACCTTGACAAATTCGCAGCACGAGGACGTCCCGGTATCTTCATTGGCTACCCTGCAACTCAGAAAGGGTATCGCATTTATGATCTCGAGAAGAAACAGATCTATACTTCACGAGATGTGGTCTTTGTTGAACATATCTTTCCCTACAGAGAGTCCTTGTTGCATAACCATTCATCATTGGCTGGCGCACATAGCCTTCCATTCTCTCCTGATGATGGTGTCCCTGCTCGTCTCATTGATGATAATGAGGAATTGTTTGGCCCCAAGTCTCCACTGGTCAATGACTCTCATCCAAGTCCAACTCCTAGCGTCATCAATCCCGACACCGAGCTGTCCGCTCCTTCTCCTCTTTCGGAAGCAGCCTCTCCCGACGTCTCCAGCTCCTCGACATCACCAACTACAGAAGCGCCAGCTGCTGCCCCTCCTTTGCGGCGCAGTGATCGCACGCGGCAGCCTCCCAAGGCCCTTGACATCTATGACGTTCAATTCCCAGGCAAGTCACAAGGAAATCATGTCTTGTATCCCATAGCCAATCATGTGAGTTACCATAGACTTTCTCCAACACACCGAGCTTTTATTGCGAACGTCACCAATACCGTGGAGCCTCGTTACTACCATCAAGCAATTCGCTTCCAACATTGGCGACTTGCCATGCAAGCTGAGATCACGGCATTGGAAGCTAATCACACTTGGACGCTCACCTATCTTCCTCCCGGTAAGCGTGCCATTGAGTCAAAGTGGGTCTTCAAGGTCAAGTACAAGCCGGATGGCTCGATTGAGCGCTACAAAGCACGTCTCGTCGCTAAGGGTTTTACTCAGGTAGAAGGCATTGACTATCATGATACTTTTGCACCCGTTGCGAAGCTCGTCACTGTCCGCTGTTTACTTGCAGTGGCAGTCACTAAGAACTGGTTCATTCACCAGCTGGACGTTAATAACGCATTTATACATGGTGATCTCCATGAAGAAGTATACATGAAGGTTCCTCAAGGTTTCGGCAAGCCTGGTGACACACGAGTTTGCAAGCTGCACAAGTCAATCTATGGCTTGAAACAAGCTTCTCGCAACTGGTACAAAAAGTTCTCTGCTGCTCTAGTTCAACTGGGTTTTCGTCAGAGTCATGCCGATCCATCACTTTTCATCTATCACACCTCGACTTCCTACGTAGTGGCCCTTATCTACGTTGACGATGTCATCCTCGCTGGTGATGACTTGACTTTTATTCAGCGTGTAAAATCCTGCCTCCATTCACAGTTTACCATCAAGGACCTTGGACCACTCAAGTACTTTCTGGGGATTGAGGTCGCTCGTTCGCCCAAAGGTGTCATTCTCAATCAGCGCAAGTATGTTCTTGACATTCTCGCCGACTCGGGTCTTCCTGCCACTCGTCCGTGTGCATCACCGATCGAGCAAAATCATCAACTTGGGCGTCTTGAGTCATCTCCTGTTCCTGATCCCTCTGCTTTTCGGCGTCTGGTTGGGCGTCTGCTTTATCTCACTGTCACCCGGCCCGACATCACTTATTCGGTCAACCTGCTTAGCCAGGCGGTTCATGCTCCCACTCAAGCTCATCTCGATGCTGCTCATCGCATCCTTCGTTACTTGAAGAGCTCGCCCGGCCGTGGGTTGTATTTCCCTTCGCAGAATTCTCTGACCTTGACAGGTTACTGCGATGCCGACTGGGGTGGCTGTCCCACCACCCGTCGTTCTACTACAGGTTACTTCATTCGATTGGGAGCCTCACCTGTGTCTTGGCGCACCAAGAAACAGACAGTAGTGGCTCGTTCTTCTGCAGAGGGTGAGTATCGCGCTATGGCCAGCGCCGTTAGTGAGATCATTTGGCTTCGGTGGCTTTTGAGTGAACTTGGTGCACCTCAACAGGGTCCGACCCCCCTCTTTTGCGACAGTCAGGCAGCTTTACATATTGCGGCTAACCCAGTCTTCCACGAACGAACGAAGCATGTCGAGACCACAAAGCCGCAAAGATTGGAAGCCACAAATAAATCCAAAAGCACTCATGATGATGAAAAAGATACAACAAATAGATCTAAGATTGGAAGCCACAAAGCCGTCGATGGCGATTCCGGGACCATGGCGAAAAACCGGCTTTTTTGGTCCCTCCTTCTCACTTTCTTCTTCCTCGCGAATCTGGATCCGGCGGCGGGGCTGCAGCAGGGAGATCGAGGGGAAATCCCCCCTGCGACGGCGGAAGCAGGGTATAGAGGAAGAAGGAGAAGGGTGGATGGGTCATGGGTTTGATTTCTGGGTGGGTTAATGGTTTTTTTAGGTTGGGTTGTGTTTATATGAGGTGGCATGTTTTTCTGACGTGGCGGACCAATTTTTGTTTTTTCTTGGGTTAAAATTGGGTGACTAGGCATCTCTGGTAGCCACTTCAGCAGTTAACTGACGGCACTAACGGAGTCTGACGGAGGTTAACGGAGAGTGACCGAACTTGGACTGTTTAACTAATTTAAGTGACTACGAATGGAATAAACGAATTCGAGTGACCAAACGTGAAATTTTGTAGCAATTCGAGTGACCAAACTTGCAATTTAGCCCTTTTTTTTAACACTTGTTACATTGCTCCTCCCCATACCCAGTCAATCCGTACTAGATATATAAGGAGTACACAGAACCATCATCAATCCACCACCACTCGAATCAAACGTGGAAGCAAACCGTAATACACACACTCTCATCATGTCGAGATTGCAGGACAAAGTGGCCATCGTCACCGGCGGCGCCAGAGGGATCGGCGCCGCCGCCGTGGAGCTATTCCACCAAGAAGGAGCCAAGGTCGTGATCGCCGACATCCAAGACGCCCTCGGCCAGGCCCTCGCCGACAGGCTCCGCGGCGGCGGAACTGACGATTCCATCACCTACATCCACTGCGACGTGTCGAAGGAAGACGACGTGGCACGCCTGGTGGACGCCACGGTGGCCAGGTACGGGAAGCTGGACGTCATGTACTGCAACGCCGGCATATCGGACGGGCGGCCGGGGAGCATCCTCGACGCCACGCGGGAGCAGCTGGACCGCATGATCGGCGTGAACCTGGTGGGCGCGTTTCTCGGAGCGAAGCACGCGGCGAGGGTGATGATCCCGATGAAACGCGGCGGCGGAGGCGGGAGCGTGTTGTTCACGGCGAGCGCGTGCACCGCGATCGGTGGGCTCGGGAGCCACTGCTACGCGATGACCAAGTACGGGATCGTGGGCCTGGCCCGGAACCTGGCGAGCGAGCTGGGCCGGCACGGGGTCCGGGTGAACTGCGTGTCGCCTTCGGGGGTGGTGACGACGGGAGTGGGCGGCGGCGGGAGGGTGAAGAGCGAGGCTGAGGTGGCGGAGGTAGAGGCGTTCTTCAGCGAGGTGGGGAATCTGAAGGGGAGGAACCTCACGGTTGATGACGTGGCGAGGGCGGCGTTGTTTCTGGCCAGCGACGAGGCCCGGTACGTGAGCGGGGTTAACCTGTTGGTTGATGGTGGGTTCAGTACGGTCAACCCGTCCATGTTGAACGCCATGCAAATTGGATGAACATTAGGGCTAGCTTTGCTTGTTGGGGTTTTCCAAACGAGGGTTTTTGTTGAATCTTAGAGCCTCTTTACTTTCATTCTGTCTTTTATCTTTTAGTTCATTTCCAACTCTGAGAACAGAAAGTGGTAGCTACGTGTTGTTTTCGAGAACGATAAAGTGTTGTTTTCCAGAACGACAAAATGTTGTTTTCGACATATTTTCTCGCATTTTCAAGAATTTTTTTTTGGTCTTATCGGTGAGGGTAATCTTGTTCTCTGTGTTCGACGAGCTTTCAAAGATCCTACTATTTATCCCCCCTCACCATTCTTTCATGTTTGAAGGATTTTTATGAGGCAAACTGTTAATAACGTGTATGCTTCCTGTAGTCCGATTTATGCAGACAAAAGCTCTCAAGTATCCCAAAATCGAATCGCAAAGTTGCATTGGAGAAGTATTTGGTTCGCGTATTCTTTGCTTGCAGCACAAACAACACACATACTTGGGAAAACTCCATCATCTCTTCTTAAAGGAGTCATGGCGGGTAAGAATCTTTTGTTGATGGACAATCCACAAAAACGTATCGAACTTTGTTGGAATCACTCCTTGCCAAATCGTCTTGGTCAGGAAATCTTCTGATGCAAAGTACTTCTCCTTCGCAATGCATGAATCAATTGAGTGAACGGAGAAGTCTTGCGCAAGCTGCTAAACCACCACGTCAAGACATGCATGTAGAAGAAAATGAAGAAACAAGCTAGGTTGTTAAGTGTGTCAAACAATCTTAAAACCTCCTCTTCAGCCGCATCACGGAAGATGATGGTGTCATCTGCGTAAAGTAGGTGGGTGGCCACTCCTCTTCAACCGGTCTCGTCCATACAAAAGCCATTGATGAAACCAGCATTGCTCATCTCTTGAATCATGAGGAATAAAACGTCCATGATCAGGTTAAAGAAGAATGACGATAAGGGATCTCCCTGCTTCAAGCCTCTCTCTGGTTTTATGAAAACGGTCGCTTCCCCATTGCACCATCACAGACGGTCGAGAGGAGGCTAAGATTCCTAGAAACCCACCTTTGCATTTTGAAATTAAACCCGAATGATACCACCATAGAAGTAGCAGATTGTGATCTGGATCCACTCTTTCATTTAATTGTTTGTTCAAATTCAATCTAGTTATCTAACTTTCATAATTTATCTTCTATACTCCGATTTCAAACGAGTTAAATTAGATTTTTCATTGAGTTCATACTTTGTTTTTCTTTTTCATTAAAAAAATGCAATCTAGTGATCCAACTTTCATACTTTATCTTCAACACTAACTTCAAACTAGTTAAATTATATTTTCCAAGTTATAAAATCATATTTTTCAAAATAATTGTGAATGCGTAGTGATTAAATTACTTTTTAAGTACTAGTAATCACAGACTCGCTTTTTGGTTGTAACAATAGTGAATAATCTAGTACAAATTTAAAGGATGATAAGTTTTTTTTCTTCATAATCTCTTTATTTATCTCGAACATTTAGTAACAAAAAAAATTTAACTTAGATTCTGTAATTTAACTCAAGAGGTTGACCTAGTGGTAATGTGGGGATGAGAACATCCAATATACCCTAACTTTGAACATTAGAGCCAACAACCAACAAAAAAAAATATTCTATATTGGGTGCTTCTAATAATATCAAATAATATTTTAATCAATTTTGAAAAATAAATAATTTTTTTATTTTTTCGTTATCGTTTTTTTCACGATAATATATAAAAAATATCCCCTCCACTCGCACCGATCTCTAAATCTCGACTCTGCCGCTTGAGGTCACTAGTATTTCTGAGCACTGGTTGCACTTTGTTTCTCACAACCTCACAATTAGGGGTGAAAATCGAAATCAATACGGTGTCGGTATCCCAATACCAAATACCGAAATTCCGAATACTGAAATCCCAAAAATCCCTAAATATTTTGGTATCCCAATCGGTACCTTGGTTTCCCAATCGGTATTATCGAATACAAAATTAATTACTTTTGCAATTAATAATTAAATATATAAATTAGATTTTATTGTTTAATTTAGGGCAAAGAGACTAAGCAAAGAGTATTGAGTTGCCTAGAGCTAACATCTCAAGTTCTTGTAATTGGTAATCTTTAATTTGACGAATTGGAGGTTGAGATACGACTAATACTAGTGTGAAATAGTGATATGGAATTATCTATGTATAATTAAATGACACTCTTGGTGGTTGAGGGTCGCGTAGTAGTGAATGGGAGAGTCTAGTTGAGAGGATAACATGCACACTAGCTTATGTTTCAGTATTGATTGGTATTTCGGTATATACCGATCCCAATCCCGCAATCCCTAATACCGAATAACAATTGAAATCAATCTCAATCCCAATTCCACGAAATAATATATGTATTCGGTAATATCAAATATAGACAAATTCAGTACAATATTCAGTATATCCGAAATACCGGTACCAAACTTACAGCCCTATTCACAATGGTCGGCTTCCTTCTGAACTCCTAATACGTATTTCTATTCTCCTTGTAGATTTAAATCTTACAAAGGTACGCATATGGAAACTCCATTACTTGGCACCGTGTTTAGGTGCATAAGCAAGATCCATTGTTGGGGCAACAAAACCTCAGAGAAATCTACCTAGTTTAAATCGAAATTAAATGGTATTTGTCGATCTTGTCCCATGCAAATTAATTAACTAACTTATCATTGCTTGGAAATGTACAAATTTGTGCGATTAAATCGATTTTTGACACATCATCTTCTCGTCTCCATTCTTAGAAAAAGTTAGAAAATGAGACATAGAGGGTAACAAAACTGAATGAATATACTTCCTTAAAATACGATCTTATTAAAGCACATAACAAGACATGATAATTTTAAAGAAAATCCCTCTATGTTTAGCTTGGAATCCTTGTGAAGAAATTAATGATGACATCTCAATCATATAAATTAAAATTTCACATTACATCCCATTGGAATTCACGAGAGTCACTCAAATGATAATTCACGAAAGACGATGACATGGTGTATACTCAAATTCAATCATTCTCGTTCCGATTGGTTCAAAAGATAATCATAAGTCCATAATTCTCTAAAAAATATCCATCAAGATATCACATAAGAAAATAAATGAAAAACACGATCGAGTAATTTGAATGAATGAATTCGACTCATTTGCCTTATAATGTGATTTGAACTTAGATGACTTGTTTAGCAGTAAAAATAGTATTTTTGACATTATGAATTGACGAAGAAGAAAGATTGCATTTTGAATTGCCAAGTTTTTAAAAAGCAAAATAATTTGTATCAAAATACTGTATTTGGAAAATTCATATCCAAACAAATTGTCCATTTGCATCATCTTTCACTAAGAAAACGAGACATGCACTAGTGGTTAATTTTGAGCACATTGATGCTCCCCTGTCTCCAGCAACTTTGGACCTTTTTTTTATCTTCTCAATAAGTGTTCCTTTTTTGCCAATCTTGTTGTCCCTCTCTACTAATAATTACCCTATTGGCCGTTTTCCATTTAAAACTGTCCTATTTACCAAATCTTGGAATGTCCTCAAAATGTTACAGCCTTGCAGGGGGCTACAATATAAATAGCTCACTTCTCATTACTATTAGGCAGCAAGAGAAAGGCAGTTGGTGTCTTTCTCTTCCTCACAGTTTCCTTCTATATTCTATCCTTCTTGAGATCATAAGTACTCCTAAGCCCTACAGCCATGGCCATATCTACTTTGAATTTCTCATTGCTCATTACCATTGTGATCTTGTTACTTGGACAAGGTGGTGTGCACAAGATTGAAGCTTCCCATGAGGTATACAAAGGCTACCAAAGTCTCGAGACCATACCGCCCAAATTCCAGCCGTACCGAACGGGCTTCCACTTTCAACCTCCAAGGAACTGGATTAACGGTAAGATGTTTCATATAATGATCATTCACAATTTTTTTTTGCAAAAAAGGGTTCGTCAAAAGAATTTTGTGACAGTTGTATTATTTTTTGGCTATCTATTTTTGTTCGAAATTCTTTATTTTTACGATAAAGAATTGTTATTCTTGAATCATTTCATTTTCTTTGTTGTAAAGTTACCTCTCGTATGTTTGCTGATATCAATGGGTTTTTTTTTTTTTGTGTGCTTGTTGCCATTCTGGCCATGCTGGCTGCCCATCTGTGGATTTCCTGCATATGGTTGAAGATCCTAATGGTGAGTTTAAGAAACAGAATATTTTTCATTTATAATACTACAAAGGGTTTATATAAGAATAAAATGTGAAACTAGAGTTTCACTATAACTCTAATAGTGAACCATTTGTGGATAATAACTATAATAGGTCCCTAACATTGGCCTAAATCTATTAAATAAAAAATTCATTTCTTTTCTATGAATAAATGAATACTTATGTATAACTACTACTAGTATATTTCCCTAACATGTACCAACAACATTTAGCACACTATCAACTCTTGCAGGACCAATGGTTTACAAAGGAATCTACCACTTGTTCTACCAATACAACCCAAATGGTTCGGTTTGGGGCAACATTGTTTGGGCACATGCAACATCCAAAGATCTGGTCAATTGGGAACTCCAACCGGTTGCACTCTCCGCAGCCGAACCAAACATGGATATCAACGGTGCATGGTCTGGTTCGGCCACAATCCTTCCGGATGGCAAACCGGTCATTTTATACACAGGAGTCGACTCACAGAACCAACAAGTCCAAAATGTAGCCGTCCCCAAAAACCTATCCGACCCATATCTCATCGAGTGGACCAAACCACCCCAAAACCCAATCATGTCGCCCACAATCCAGAACCAGATCAATTCCAGCTCCTTCAGAGACCCTTCAACCGGATGGTTAGGCCCCGATAACGTGTGGAGGGTCGTCGTCGGGAGCAAAATTGGGAAACAAGGTGTGGCAATCTTGTACAAGAGCAAAGATTTCGTGAACTGGGTTAAAGACAAGAAGCCACTGCATTCTGCTCATGGGAATGGAATGTGGGAGTGCCCTGCCTTTTACCCTGTTTCTGTAGGAAACCGCAACAGTGTGGACACTTCGAAGAGCAGCAACGATTTGAATGTCAAGTATGTGCTGAAAGTGAGCCTGGACGATATCAAGCATGATTACTACACGGTGGGGAGCTACAATTACCATACAGATGTTTATACACCAAACAGAGGCTCGATCCAAAATGGGTTTTCGGGATTGAGGTACGACTATGGTAAATTCTATGCTTCTAAGTCGTTCTACGATGGGGAGATGAACCGCAGGGTGTTGTGGGGTTGGGTGAACGAATCTTCGAGTGTCGCTGATGATGTCAAGAAGGGTTGGTCTGGAGTTATGGTAAGATTGAATTACGTTCACAATTTTTCAACTTCATTTGTTGTTTTTTGTTGGTTTCGTAATTAGCTTACAATAATCAACGCCATTTGATCATATTCTCCAGGCGGTCCCAAGAAGAGTATGGTTGGACAAATCTGGGAAACAACTCCATATAAACCCAGTTCAAGAATTCGTAAAGCTTCGTATGAATCCAGTTAGCTTGCGCAATCATGTCCTCCAACCATCATCGTTACTTAAAGTCCACAATATCACAGCAGCCCAGGTGATAGATCGATCAAATGTTACAAAGGCGATTTGTGGTGACCATTTCGCTAAGGATGGTCGCCAAAGACGATTAAATTCGTCGCTAAAAACCTTTGGTGACCAGTTTGCTGACTTCGTGTTCTTGTTTTACTGTCACCAACACAGGCAGATGTAGAGATCGCATTTGAAGGATTAGACTTGAGCAAAGCAGAAGTGATAGACCCAAGCTGGATAAGCAAACCACAGGTGCTATGTAACCAAAATGATTCATCAGTTAGAGGAAGTCTAGGCCCATTTGGGTTGAAGGTTTTGGCTTCCAAAGGCATGGAAGAGTACACCTCTGTATTTTTCAGAGTCTTCAAGATGAACACCCAAAACAACAAGCAGCATGTGGTGCTAATGTGCAGTGACCAAAGCAGGTCTTCCCTTGATAAGGATGTTGACAAATCAAATTACGGCGCTTTCGTGAATGTGAATCCAGGTCACGAGAAGTTATCGTTAAGAACCTTGGTAAGTGACGCTCATCTGCAAACTCTTTTTCCCTCTTTGATATGATCCAATCATTTTCTGATCTTATGGCCTTGAAATATGTTTCCATTCTTGATGTCGAAAACTGCAGATCGATCATTCTATAGTAGAAAGCTTCGCAGCAAAGGGGAAGAGTTGCATAACATCAAGAGTCTATCCGAAATTGGCGATAGATAAGGCTGCCCATTTGTATGCTTTCAACAATGGACTTCAAAGTGTGAAGATATCAAGTTTGAATGCATGGAGCATGAAGAGTGCACAAATCACTGGAAAGCAATGACAGACCTATATATGGAACCTGAAGAAACACACTATCCTTTCACAAAAAGTTGTTTTCGACTTGTATTGTAATTTGTTTTTCTTCTCGATTTGGCTTTTTAATGTCTTTCTCCTATGTATCCACCTTATAACGGTAGTATTTGGTCTCGTTGAGGCCTATGAAAAGTATAATGAAAGCTTTGTTTTTATCTTGGTTATCAGTAAAATTAGCTTACTTATGCATAAAAGACCTATTTGGTCCAAAACGAGCAATCATACATGACATATCATTTATGTAATCTAAGAACACTTCTATAATACAATCGTAAATTTCAAGTGCGTGAAAAATTCACCAAAATAACCATCCACAAATCTCGTATCTTAGTCAAAACATGAATCTAAACTGTAAGGAAAGAAAGAAAGCTTGATTTACCTCATGTCATGAACATTGAAAAGAAACATTAGACATCAAACATGCCGGGAAACTGAATTTATAACAGCACACGAAGAAACAGAGTATCAAGGGGAAAGAAAGAATCAAAGAACTCTCAGCCCTACAAGCTTCCCATTCCACAGACCAATTCAAACTAGAGTTGCCCAAAACTTTTCCCGGCCATCAAATGTGCCGTTCTTGACCAGTACACTATATGATACGTCTATACATAGTACTAGTGAAGCAACCCTAAGACCGCTCTCGCTCATGCAAGTCCGCGCCCCTAAAAATCCACGCGACAATCGAAGTGAGAAAATCAACCCATAAGATTGCAGCATTGCATCTCGTTATGGTGCATAGTAACGGGAATTAGGAAAATTTTACTTACCTTGTGTGTGTTCTATACCTTCTTCTGGAGTTCTTTGCCATCATCTTCAGTGCCATGATCGGTATCCTCTTCATGCCCCTCGTTTTCATGATCAGTATCATCACCATCCTTATCTATGTGGTGGCCGTAGGAATCAACCTCCACTGCCTCTCCAGTGTACCATGCTACGGCATGAGAAATAATCTTACTACGAATGGTCGTGCTGCATTGCAACAACAACGAGCCGAAAAGGGCATCTAAGAAGGGAGAAATGGAAAATAGACAATGCACAACTCTAATTCCCAATTGACAAGAAAAGTTGGGAGATACCCGATATTGTAGTCCTGCTCCATTTGGTCTTGAAGATCCTCAACCTTCAAAACAGAAGTTAATTAGATCAACAAACGAGTTTCCACATCAATAGTTGGTGAATGATTTAATCCTAGGATGCAAGACTTTACAGCATCATCATCAAGGTCATCTTCGTCCTGGGGCATGTGGGGCGTATTAAAGAATGTGAAGAAACTCAGACAATCCTCGATTTTGGTGATGGGTTTGGCATTCTTGGATCCCTTCTTAGGTTTCTTCTTTAGAATCTTCTTGGTCAAGCATTTTCCAGGATACCAGTCGATTTCCGTCCTATAAAGTGCAACTAATAATAAAAGGCCAAGAAGGAGCCGAACAACCCCAAACTGGATCCAAAAAACAAAAACATGTGCAGTTTACCCTATTGCTCTTTCCAGAACAGGATCTTCATCATCCTCAATTACATGATATGTTTTAGTCAGCACGGAATTCTTGAAGTATGGATTGGGATCAAAGTGAAACTCAAGCTTGAAACCCACAGGCTCCTCAAGTCTAATACTTTTGATGTCTCTAAGAAATTTAAGAGCTGCCTCATCACGTTCTGTTATCTGCCCCACATAAACAAAATCAACTTTCAATAATGCAACTCAACCTTCTGAAATTACATAAAGTAGCCTAAAAACTTTTCAATATCTCCTGTCAAAGAGTTACCTCTTCGGCTAACACTTCGTTGTTCTTCATCGCAGTGAGCCAGAAGTCGGGTACTCCTGATTCCGCGGTGAAAATATCATCAGTCAAGCAGAAGTTCTAAATCAAACCATGAAATCAAAATAAATTCTATTATGAAAAGTCACCTCCAGCAGCTTTATCAGCTTCTTGATCCCCTGAAGCTTCAGATGATACCCCATCAACTTCTTTTATACCATTTATAATCTCGTATCTCTGACAGCACCAAGAAAATGTTAAATCAACTAGGTATGGTAACTTAAGAACCTCAATGATAATGATCAAGAGTAGATTATTTGAGAAACCTGTGTATAATGTGGCTCATAAAGCTTCTGATACTTGGCCTCTAGCGCCCTTCTCTCCTCGAAGAATTTCGCCTCCAGTTCATCATGTTGGCCCTGTTAATAGCGATGCACCAAGAAAACCGATTACCTCATAAACAAAACAAAACAGGTACCAGAATTCCCACCAAAACATCAATTCATGCAACATACAACATACAACACAATCAAACCCATTGACAGTTCTTTACAGAACCATGAAATGCTCTTGGGTAGGAAGAAAAAAGCACCACCTGAATCTCTTTCAGATACTCCACGCGCTTTCTGACTCTCGGAGGCAGCTCTTCGATGATGTTCGAGTGCTGCCCTGCCAAGTTCTGTAGCTTATTCTGCACCAAAAACAAACCCCACCCCTCAAAATTGAATATCTCTATTTTACTTAAAAAAGTTCCCAACTTTCCCAACTGCTGATTAGAAGCATTATCTAAATTTCACTCTCCTAGTATACCACATCCCCGCCCTACTGCGCTAATATCACATACCTTAAGTGCATTAACAAGGTCTGCTCGGTCCTCTGCACTAAGAGCTGAAAATGGAAAATCAAACAAAAACACAATTTCACAATTCACATCAATACTTAGATCCCTTTCTAATTTTTTCCAATGGCAGAACTACAAAGCAATCAAATGAATCCGTGGAACAGAAAAATCTCAGAAACGATTCAACACTCCAGCTACATAAAACTCATCAAGATAACTATCCCGTATGATCAGTGTTGGGAAAAGAAACATTCTGCCTCTTCTGTCACGCTCTCAATGTTCCAATCATGCGAATCCAAATTTCCGAGAACAAATGGCATAATGTAACGCAGGCGCCGGAGAGGGTTTGAGGGAAGAGGGAATAGTGATAATACCGGCGGCAGCTGCTGGCAGGGAGGAGTCGAGATCGGTGACGGGCAACGAATCCTTACTCATATTTGTGGGTTTCGCTAGAGGGATGGAGATGGAGGAAGGGACGGGGACGAGCGTTTGGGAAACGGGAAAATGGAGAGTGGAAGATCAGGGGAAGCGAGGGGAATTTCTCTTTTGCCGCGATGGCCAGGCAGGGAGTGAGCCACGGTGAGGGCGCGCGTTTGGAAAGAAACTGTGAGAAAGGGAAAGAAGAAGGAAAAGGCAATTATAGCTTTTAGTACTTGTAATTATGTTACTTGACCCATTACACCTTCTCTATATTATGGATTACAAATTTAATCAAACACATCCATTATATTACTTATTACAGCCACATTTATCTGGTACCAACTACCAGTTCATACTTCATAGTAGGTTCAGGAAGGTGCTAGATAGGCGTTGGGGTACTGTCTGGCGCCTAGCATGTTTGGTGTCTAGGTGATGTCTAAGCGTTTTAATAAAAAAAAAAATCTAGTAAAAATAACAATCTTATAGCTTGTTTTTACTTTATTTCAATTTCAAATAATTAGTAACTTAGCTAACCCTCAACAATAATCAAAATATGCCATGAGCTAAAACTGCAATATCAATAGAGGAATGAATGAAGGATGCATTGAATATAAGGCGGCTTGGAGATGGTGTTGAGCTACAATCTTTTCAATTATTGCTATGCTGGTGCAATTAAGCGTGTCTCACTTCGATTAATGACGTCTCACAATGATTAATCATATAATGACGAGCTAATGATAATCATATAATGAAGTAAAAACCAACAACCACCCGTAGCTTCTACTACAAAGTATGAACCAATAGTAAAGACATTAACTAGTAAAAAAATAGTAAACGCATTGATATTTTTCTGAAGAACATCATCTAAATTATGCATATTAGATCATCTATCACCATAATTAAATCAAAGAAAGAAAAAATATAAGTGGTCATTTGATTTTTATGATAGTTTAATTGGAATAGTTACAATGCATGTATTGTCTATAACGTATCTTTTTTTTTTTAATTTTCTGCACATACAATACATACATTGTTTGCTTGATGTGCATAGTTAAATCCCAAATTTTGGATGAGATTGTTGACACTTGAGATAGTTTGGTTGAGATTGTTATATTTTTTTCAATATGTCGCTTATGTATACTAAAAACAAAAGTTAAAAATAATACTTCATCTAAAAAGTAACAGGGTAATGACTATTTATTAGCCAAAAAAATTTCAGATTTTTTATATTAGCCAAACCTATCGAAATACTAAGAATTAGCCAAATGTTAACAGGGTAAAACGAACAAGGGCTTGGCTTAGTGGTAACACCACTAACCTAGAATCTGGAGGTCTCAGGTTTGAATCCCTTAAGTAGTACCTTAATAGCAACAAAATGAACCTATATCACCCTTATCAAAAAAAAAAAAATTTTGTCAGTAATATTTACTTGGCAACATGATACTTACTTTTTTAAAAAAAAATGGAGTTCATTAAGATTGCAACGGGCCAGGCCCAATGGAAAAGATACAAGCAAATGACAACATGGATTGGAAAAAAGAGAAAGCAGGGCCCAAAACAAGACCCGGAACCCAATAAGGCCCAAAGCCAAGGACCCAAAAACATTCCCACTCCCCCAACCCTAGCCGCCTCCACCTTACCCCTCTGTAATCCCCGCCGCTGTGACCGACAACCGCCGCCTCCAACCATCAACAATAGCAGCAGGTTCCCACCCATCTCGGTAGGTAGGATGTGAAAGGAGACCCTCCAAACAACCACCCCGAGCCAATCAACCAAACGCATCCCTCTGCTTGAAACTCAGGGGAACACCACAGATCGATCGGTCGGCCGACGGAGGAAACAGAGTGATGGAGATCTTCTGTCTTCAAGCTCTCCGCGCCGAGTCAAACGCCAAAGGCTACATCTCCGAACCACCTAGACCTGCAAGGTGAGAACAAGGAGGAAGACAAGGGGAACGAAAAGGAGAAGACAAGCTAGATCTGTGGCAGATCTAGCCTTCATGCAACTTAGATCGGACACAACATCTCTAGTTCTGAGTCACCAGAACAGAGGACAAAAGATCATCCCAGTCAAGGGGAGAAAGAAACCCACAAAAGGGAAAAGGAGCAGACCCGACCCGACAAAGGAGAAACAAAGACAACAAAGGAACGAAAAAAACAGCAAGCCGAGCAAGAAAGGAGATGAAAAAGAAAAGGAAGCAAGGGAGCGGAGGGCCGCCGCCGTTTGTCGGAGAGGCGCCGGCGGCAGCCCTCTCAGTCGCCAGGAAGAAGGCGATCTACTTTCTAGAGAGAGGTCGGAGGATTTTGAAAATGAGGCGGCAGCCCTCTCAGTCCTGATACTTACTTGGAAGAGACACATGAAGGTCAACATTACAAAATTTTATTATTTTAACTAAGAAAAGAGTTACAAAATTATTAACGATAATATAAAAATGACTAATATTTTGATGGATTACAAAAGATTTGGCTAATTAATAGCATTTTAATGCGTGTGGATAATATGAAAGAATTTGAATTAAAAATAGACATTAACTAAAATAATATAACTTATTTAAATACTTTAATAACTGTCACAGATTCCAAACTATAAACTACAATACACCAATTTTTCACCAAAATACACCAACTTACAAAAACAAACGACTCCTAAATTTGGTTCTCCCTTATTATCACAAAGATCCTTGTCATAGAAAAACTAAATTATCCAGAAGATGCAAAGACTTTGAGCACACATACTCATGAAATGCAAATTGCCTATCTAAAAAAACCCTTGGTACACAACTAAACCCTATGGTTAAAGAACTTCCTTCAGGATTATAACCCAATTTCTGCGAGGAACACAATGGTATATACCTGTGAAATTTTCCAAGTATAAGAACCCCACAGACAGAAAATGCCTTCCTTTCTCCTTGACATAAAAGAATTCTGTAACATCTAAACTCTGTCATCCTTCTCAAGAAGGTTACAAGACCCAATTTTTGCCACCCTATCAACGAAAAACCTCCTCAAACCAACTACCATAGGGAGAAAGAAGGACAGTAATCTCAACATTCATCTTCACAATCCCATACAAGTTTTCTCCCAAATGTTTGCCTGCAACAACAAATCCAGAGAGAAGCACTCAAATATCTTTTTTCACTTCCTATAAGGGTGGTGTCTTCCTCCTGCCACAGAACCTCCACCGCTGCTGCCTCCATATGCCTTCCCACTGCCATATCCACTACTACCACCACTACCACCACTGCTGCCATATCCTCTACCTCCGTCGCCAGTTCGTTCGTACCCTTTCCCCACACCATAGCCAGCTGCCGCACCATATGGGAAGGCTGAACCGCCACCACCTCCATACATGCCATTACCATACATCATAAAGTTGTTCAGCCCAAATCCATAGCCATATCCACCATATGCACCATAGAACCCGGCGGCACTCCCTGGATAGCCTGCTCCATAACCGGCTCCAAAACCATTGAATCCGGAATAACCGCCATAGCCACCACCACCACCACCACCGCCATATGCTCCTCTGCCCATTTTGCCACTGTTCCGACTTCCAGAACCATGAACGGGCCCATACCCACTTGCCTCATTGTTGAATCCTCCACCATAAGACTTTGGGCCGCTGCCATAATCACCACCACCGAATCTTCTAGGTTCAGCCTTCTTTATCTCCACCTGAATAAAAATGGAGACCAGAAGTTGCAACTTGTTAGTAGTTTGTAAAAATGCAGAGTAGGAGAAAGGGTTACATAGCTGGCCTGAATGGTACACAGAAATATCAGTTTCAATAAGATTATAATTTACCTCTTTCCCTCCAAGCTCGTGGTTCCTACCCTCTGAAAAGATCCGTTCGACTGAATCTTCACTGTCAAAGGTGACAAACCCAAATCCCCTTGAACGTCCAGTTTTATGATCCAACATGATCTGATACTCGGTGATGACCCCGTAGAACGAGAAGTACTCCTTTAACTCATCTAGGATAAAAATAAAAAGATGCAGCATCAGACAATATACTTGACAAGTCAGGAACTAGAGATGAAAACAAATTATGGGTTCAACGTGGCTACCTTCGGTTAAAGAAGGAGGTAGTCCACCTACAAAAATTTTCTTAACTCTCATCCCTTTGAAGTCCATATCCTCCCTTGGAACTGTCTTCTTCACCTCCACCTAACACAAATAAAGCACCAGCAGAGTAAGTACCAGGCACCGCGAATTGCATTCTACACAACTTCAAAAACATCAGAAATTAGTGCAACTTACCGCTCTGCCATCTACAATATGGTCTCTCTCCAAGACTCTATCGGCAACCACTGGGTCAGCAAAGGTTACAAACCCGAACCCCCGTGGCCTTCCTGACAGTCTATCCAACATTATGACAGCATCCGAGATTTCTCCAAACTTGCAGAAGTAATTAGTGAAGGTCTCTGAAAAACAAGTCAACACATAGCAGGAGACCACTTGAGTGAAAGATGGAAAAGTACAACAGAGATAAACAACTGAAAGCACAGACTGAGCGCAAACATGGGAGGGGAAAATGAATGTGAAAGAGCTAACTCGGCATTATCACACCAACAAATAGACAATCAAGAGATTTCACAGACCACCGGACAGCAACTTTTGGTCCATCAGATGTACAGAATCAGCTACAATCTTGGAATTTATAACTACCAGCTGCTAATTAATTAAAAAGTCATTCATTCTAAAATCTAATGTCCTCCATTTGGCAAGATAAACTGTAAACTGGAGAGGGGGAAAAGGAGAATCAGCTTTTTCCAAATCATGGAACTTATTGTTCTCGCCCAATTAAATTCATCAATCAGCTTCAGTGTAACAGGAATAGATGGGAAAAGAAACAGTATAAATTGGCAAGTCATTTACTTGTATGCATACTTGTAACAATATCCTCATCCATCTTAAAAATCGAAATCAAAGAATAAAGTATCAGCAGCATAATTTCCAGGCCACGTGTCAGATTAATAGCTATACGTAACGCCAACATAGGAGACTAATTCACCACAGTATTTAAATCAGACAATTGCTTAACCCAGTGAACCACATATGCCACAGAAAATTGGCTAACAATTTCCAATTCAGTGAAGTTCAAAGCTGATTTCTCCACCAGTTCTAAGGATGAACCATTCCTCACTAGAACTAACAGTCAAAACTCAAAACGCACAGCAAACACCAAACGTTCATTTTCCAAAGTAGCATAATAGATTATGCCAACAGGAGGCAACGAAAGTGCATAGCTTCCAAATAAGAACTAAGCCATAGTGAGAAAGAAGAACAGAAGGGAAGTAGGCCATACCTTCAGTAGTATCCCAAGAGAGTCCTCCAACAAAGAGTTTTCTACCAACAATAACAAAAAAAAAACAACCCAAATTATTTCCTATAAAATTTCCTCTCTATCCATTTCCACCAGGCCATTGCAGCCTCTTGGAAAAACAAAGAACAACAAAAGCCTTCTAAAACAACCAATTCCCTATCTTTCCTTGATTTTTTACACATGCATTCTATAAGACTATAACTAAGAAGCTATCTACTATGACTAAACCAACCAACTAACTAACTAACCCAGGAGCTGATGAAGAAGAAGAGGACTGGTGACTGTGATTAATCATCCTCCCACCATTTCCAGCTCCAGTTTCTTCCTCTTGTCTTTTATCCCGCCTTCCCTGCTGCTGCGGCTGTTGCTCTTGTTGTTGCTGCTGCTGAGGTATCTCTTCGTAATCTTCATAATAATCATGTTCTTCCTCATCGACATTGAAAGCCAGAACATTTCCTTGGTCGAAATCCCTTTCATTTTGTGAGTAATCGTAATCCATGCTTAAAAATAACTCAAAACCTCCACACCAATTCCAATTGAGCAACAAAAAAAAAAGTACCCAGAACCCTAGAATCAGCCGAAAGCGAGAGAATTCGGGTATAATTCAATCTGCCCACCCAGGTCTATCGTTTTCAGGATGACAGCCCATTGATGAACCAAAAAAAGACTGAAAGCCGGAAACTTTTCAAGCTAAGACGGGAAGTAAAAGAGATAGCGGCGCCGGCGATTGAAAACGGCGATCTGGAGAGGACGGATGAGGATCGAAGAGGGTTTGTGTTGTGTGATGGACTCTCGTTGTCGATCTGCTTTGTGAGCCTTCTCCTGAGAAACGAAAAAACAAAACTTGGACCACATTCGGGTCGGTCATGCCCGAACCGAATTCAATTCATCTAAACCGGAGGCCCGAATAAATCTTAAGCCAAGCCCACCAGCAACTGATCGAGCCCAGTTGGGCCTTCTTCAAGCTAAGGGCTCTTCTTCGTCTTCCTTCTCATCCCGGCGAGCCGGCGACTGCTGTAGCTGCCGCCTATCCCATATCCCTCTTCTAACCCCCAATCTTCTCCGGCGACGACGACGAGAACAACCCAGATTTCCGATTCCGGCTCCCCTCTCTCCTACGCTCGCATTAGCACCGGCGTCCATAATCCCACGATCTACCGGGATGTGGAGCATCATCAGAGAGGCATTCGACAAAACACTGCTGGTTGCAAAAGCATACGGCATCCTCCATATCACTAATTCCTACCTCTGTACAGTTGCACTTGTAAGTTTTTTTCTTCTTTTCTCCTCCACTAATCCTTAATTCCACTGCCATTTTCACAATTTTTCAGTTGCTTGATTGATCCATCGCCATTTGGGGAGATTTGCAATTGCAGGCTTATGGCCCCAGCATGATTCCGGCTATCAACCTCACCGGCGATCTCATCCTCGCCGAGAGAATCTCCCCTCGCATCAGGAAGGTGGGCGTTGGGGACATTGTTGTCGTCAGGTCGCCGGTGGTTCCCAGTAGGGTAGTGACGAAGCGTGTGGTTGGCATGGAAGGAGATCGAGTCACCTACTTGCCCGACCCACACAACAGCGATGAAGTTCGCTCCATTGTGGTAATGATCTCTTCTCCCCCCCTTGACTAATTACTTTTGAGTGAGTGTGAGTGTATTGATTTCCAAATCAAAACTTCATTGTTCTTGTGTTCGTTCCTTGGGTTTTGATTGTTCATCAGGTTCCAAGGGGCCATGTCTGGATACAGGGAGATAACATTTACAATTCGAAAGATTCGAGAGATTTTGGCCCAGTTCCTTATGCACTGGTTGAAGCAAAACTACTTTGGAGGGTATTGTTTCGGATGATCGATGTTCATGTAGTAGTAGTAGTAGTAGTAGTGTACATTTTGATGAGTCTATTTGTTGTTCTGGTTGCAGGTGTGGCCGCCGAAAGATTTTGGACCAATGCAGCACATAGCCAGATAGATCAGGGACTGCTGGCTCTCCTGTCATATGCTGTTGTTTGAAATGGCAGCAACCCTAAAGAAAGAATGTGGATCAATCCTCCTTTTTCATGACTTTGAGTGAAGCTAGCTGTAAGGAGGTAACAGGGGAGGCAGATTAGAGCAGAGATCAATCCTCGATTGGGAAGAGTGTGTTCTGGCTATGTAAATGATGAAAATGAAGCAAACGGCACCCTTTCCACTCAGGGATCGTTTGGTTAATGCATTTGAGTGATTTTGTACCAAATTTCATTTTTTGTAGACTTTGGAAAAATTCATTGTTTGCTTGTAATTTTTTGAAAATTTGAACGCTTTTTTCTTCAGATTTTGAGTGTTTGAATCTGTGAGTTTTACGGATTTGTAAATCTCATCTTAAGTGTGGGATCTGGGACATGATCATAAATATACGATGATCATTCACTTTTATACCCACATTTAAAATAAAAAATATTTTCGGTTAAGGTTATCAGGAAATTTATATTTCAAAGCTATAAATTTATAACAACAAAATCCATGAACAAGTACAAGTACAGCAAATAAACAACAATTTTTTCCAAATCCAAAAAAATTTAAAACTCAGGTTTTAACCAAAATTCTCATTTTCTCAAATCCATAATAATAAAAAAATTCCAAATACATACTTTTGAGTGCCAAGTTGTGGTGAATCAACTTCAATGATGTATAATGGTCAGCTTAGTTGGCAGTTTCATTCTTAGTATGTCATTAGTTGAGGTCTTCTCTGGACGACAGTTAATGAGTTGTTTGTAAAATATCACGATTTGATTTTTAGTATGTCATTAGTACAATCGATTGTGCATTTTTTGGTAACATCATCATATGGTAATCGAGTAACATTTTAACTCATATTTTTTTTCAGTACAGGCCTAATGAAAGGTCATGTTTTATTCAACAGTAGAAAATCAATAGATGGAGGCATGGAGCCATGGAGGGGTATAGAATTGTTTATAGCATGAGAGGACTGATAGTAATTTGGATGTTGTTGATATGACTTGAATCGGATTATCAGCCGCTACGACTGGTAATCGGGGCTCCTCAGATATAGTGAAACTGGCTCTCCCTCGCCCGTGGACTAGCTAACACACATCGTGTTAGTGAACCACGTAAATCGTGTGTCTGTGTTCTTTCGATTCTCGCTTTCGTATTCTTGCTTTGTCGATTCCGGCGATTTCCCGATCCGTAGCAGCGCGTTTATAACAGATGTGGTGGTTTGGCCGTTTGGGTCATTAAATAAAGAACTTATAATTAAGGTGGACGGGTGGCTGTGGCTTAGAAACAATGGTACTGTGGTATTAATAAGACGTGTACAATGACTCTTAACTTAATTAATTATTGACGTGATTCCCACAACTCCCATCCAAGGAAACCTTTGCTAATTCATTCAATTCGATTCCAAATGGCTTTAATCTCATATATGTGTTTCATAAAGTCTAAAGTCACAACTCATCGACTTCTTTTTATATAAATGAATGCCTCATCAAATCATCAACTTTTGAGTTTTGGCCACCAAATAGCTTTTGTACACTATCCCCATAAATTTGATAAGTGGACTAGGGTAGACAAATTTCAAGAAAGATGTCGAATGGATAACTAATATAGTACATGAGTGTCGTAAATATTGTTGACGTGAGTTGTAACCACTTTTTCTTTACCAGATAGGATTAGGGTCAATCTAGAAAAAGTACTATGAATACTTTTTATACTTATTTATAATCTGTATCTCCTAAAAGTATAGTGAAACTGACTCTCTCCTGGCCGTGAACTAGCTAACACACATTGTGTTAGTGAACCACGTAAACCGTGTGTCGTGTGTGTGATTTCGTATTCTTGCATTGTCGAACCCTCCAATTTCCTGATCCACGGATAAACAGTCGTGACAAATATCGAATTTTTATAAGGTGATAGGTACTATTTAATGGATTTGAACCTGCAACCAGTGCTGTGAAAACCGAGCCGAGCCGCCAAAACCGCCAACCGGGCACAAAACCGGCTCGGATGAGCTATTTAGCCGGACTGGTTCTTTGGGGCGGCCGGCGAGCGGCCGAAGCGGTTAACCGCTCGAACCGCTCGAGCCGGTCGTCCGGTTTTTTTAATTCGACCGGTTGATTTAATTAAAAAAAAAAATTTGAAAACTAAAGGGGGTCGTGGTTGGGCTGTTCTGCAGAAGCGGAACCCTAATTTAATTTTCATTCTTCTATCTTCTTCGTGGAGAAGAGGCAGCGCCGCTCCTCCTCGTCGCCTTTCCTCAACGTCGTTCCTCCTCGTCGTTCTTTCCTCCTCGTCGCCATCAACGTCTCTCAACTGCTCCTGCGGCGATCCCACCGTCTCCCACAGCTACGGTGTCTTTCCACCTTCCCTCTGTCGCTTCCCTCTCCGCTTCCACTGGCCTCCCGCCGGACTTGATCCGACGAATCCTTCGTCTAACTTCTCGGCCGGATCCGGCCTCGTCTTCTTGCGGGCTAGAGGTCGGTTTTCCATTTATCAAACTTCAATCCTTGTTGTTAAATTAAAATTCCGATTCATGAAGGGTAAAAAACAGCCATGGATTGAATAGGGTTTGATGTATTTTTCTTCTTCTTTTGTTCAAGCCTTCAAGGCTCTTAGTGGATGGATCTTTCTGGATCTGAAAGGAGTTTTCATCAATCAATACCTAATTTCCCCCTTTGTCTTTCTCCTTCAGCAAGTAATCGACACAATTAATCCAGAAAAATATCAAAATTATTAACTGGACTTAATTCCCCAATCCTTCATGAATGGTTTAAGAGACTAATTTACTTGTGGTTTACCATAATTAAGAAGTGTCTACTATTACAGATGACTGTTTATTAGGTACCGGTTCTCAAACGGTTTTTAAACGGTCTAATGCCGGCTGGACCACTAATGACCGAGCCGTTCACGTTACCGGGTCATACTCCGGCTCGGCTTTGACAGCATTGCCTGCAACTTTCATGTTGGAAGGCTAGTGGTATACCACTAGACCAAACCTTTGTTCGTAATACTAATTTGTTGAAGTTACATATTTGCCACTCACAAGTCACAATGTCAAGTGGAAAAAATGAGAATTTGGGAGAGAAAATGAGTTTTTTTTATCCCTAGTAGGGGGGTCACAATGAGGGGCAGGAGACTCGAGCGATTTGGTGGGCGGCCCGATTCTCATCCCTTCCCCAGAACCGCCAACCAGCAATCTGCATTTCCTTCGCCCTCTCCCTTATCTCCTTGCAAGTTTCATCCACCTCCAATCAACCATCATCTTCTTTCTCCATCTTTTGGATAATCGCCTGACAATCCTTCTCGATCAGCATCGGTGTGAAGTGATGGGCTTCGACAAGGTTCATCGCCCAGAGGAAAGCATTTGCCTCAACCATCATAGGTGACCATGTTGTTCGATTCCGTCGTACCGCCTTCATCTAGAACCTTCCATTGTTGTCCCGAATAACAAGGTCGAATCCTGATCCACCTTGAGGTAACACAGATGTGTCAACGTTCAACTTATATACTCCTTCCGGCGTCCTCTCCCATTGATAGTGATGTGTGGGCGTCCTCTTCTTCTTGTCTATATTCCGGATCGCCAAGAATTCCTCCATGTAACACTAGGAACTTGCAATTACTTCACGTTCCTCAAATTTTTGGTTATTGAATAAGTGATTGTCGTGTTCCTTCCACATGAACCATAGTCCAATTAGTACATTGCCAATTTGTTCATCCATTGCCTTATTCAGCAGTTCGCACACCCATTCTTCACACCCCTTCTCTTCATCCATATGAAAAAACTAGCAATGGTACTAGGTCTCTAGAAACGGCTTGCCCAATCACTTTCCCTTGAGATGTGCTCATGTGTTTCAACTAGCCCACAAAAAGGGCATTCATCACTCAGCTCAAAGATTCGTCTGCTTAGGTTTACGCCCGTGGGAAGTATATTGATTCCTTATCTATATACAAAGACTCTCACTTTAGGGGGGTAGTTGTAGTTTTCAAAGCCTCTTCCAGTCCACTGGGACGTAATCCTCCTCATTTTCCAGTCTTTCCTGTCTCTGTACATTATATCCTTATCGCACCGAGTATCTCCTTGACTTTTTCTTTCCTCAAGCACATTCATCGGGCCGACCCTTCCTTGGTATAGGTATCTGGTAGATCCTTTCCCGGTTAGTAGGATTGAAGTTTGACTGGATAATATTACTTCTCCACGACTTAGTAGTCCAATCTATCAGGTGTGAACCTTGGCATGCATCCCTAATGTGGCTACTGGAGATTGAATCTGATAATCTGGGGCTTCAGGGATCCATCTATCCCACCACACTCTCACATGCTCCCTATTTCCAATGTGCCACCTTGTCCCTTCTTTAACAAGTAACCGAGCAACATGAATACTTCTCCGGGTATAGCTGGGGTTATTTCCTATTTTGACCTCTAGGATTCCACAATTCGGGTAATACTTGGCTTTTAGGACTCTTACAACTCGACTATCGGGTAGGAATGACAATGGGTCGAATTTGTGGCATAAACCACAAATTCGTGCCCCGCCATGCTCTCTGAGGTTAAGATCCACTATGCCTCGTGCCCAGCAATGGGTTGGCACTTTTCGATCCAAACATTGCCCCGCTCAGGTCGAATAAAATCTGCCCCGCCCCATTTACTGCCTATGACCCTTCAAATGACCTAACATCAGCTATCACAAAACCAACAGAGCAATAAAGCAAGGTTGAGATTCAGTTTCCCCCATAAACAAAATGGATGAATCTAGAGAAATAATATCTAACCATAAACAAGTAACCTCAATTCTCCACCAACGTCGGCGCCATCGCAACCATGGTGGATCTCTGTGTGCGCGTGTGTCCCGCTACCTCTATCTCTACATAGATCTTATGTGTTCATCTCCAACTAACCACACAACGTTCCTCTCTCTCTCTCTCTCTCTCTCTCTCTATTCTAAGCAACTTCTCTTCTTTCTTTCTGTACCTAGAGAACCTAATACTTTCCCGACTAGTGGCGTCGTCGAAAGAAGAGGAAGAAGAAGAAGAAGAAGAAGAAGAAGGAATAGAGGACGTGAGTTGAGTCAGAAATTGAAAAATGGGATTTGAGAGTGGAAGATAAATGAGGTAATTATCATAAATGGTCACAAATCTATTTACTTTGTACAAAACGGTCACAATCCTTTAATTTTGCACGTTTCGGTAACACAAGTATTAGCAAATAACAAAATGGTCATTCCGTCACTTTCCATCCAAAATTCTGTAATTTGATCTAGTCAGCCCTTCACGTCATCAAAATTATTAATAAAAAATTCAATTTGACCAAACCCACTGTGTTAATTTTGTCCAATTTCTCTTCGTCTACCTCCAACCCAGCACCTGAACCAGCCGGACCCTTTACCTCTCTCTTGCAACTCTTTCTCCGCCACAGCACAACAATCCTTGTCCGAAAATTCTCACTCTTTTCAAGTTTTGGGGTGTTCATTCTTTTCGCTGCTCGTGAGAAATCAATGGATTCCGTGACTAGGTCGGAAACTACGGCGGCCACACCGAAGGTTGCTAGCGAGAGAAGCGGGCAACCGGAAGAAGGTTGTTTCCAAGTCGGCCAGTCCAAGCGGCGTCGTTGACGGTAATGCCTGGGTCTTGAAGAAAGGTCACACTCCCTTTCCTCCACCACAAATCCCTATTCCTCCACCTACTAAAACAAACCCCCAAACTTAGTCTATGGCTCCCCCCATCCACTATAAATTTGACATGCTCCAAAAAGAAAGAGATGTGGAATTGGAAGTTGGAAACAGTAAGAATCTGAAGAGTCAGCCCTATCATTGCAAAACAACGTTTCCAAGAAAGAGACTTTACTGACGATTACATGCTCCCAATCCACAGCGCCTCTGCTGCCGATTCCTCCTTTGCGGCGAGAGAGAGGAGAGGGATACTACAAAAGGGTCAGGGAAGGCTTGACCGGTTGGTATATATCGATCGTTCGGTTACTTTAGGTTTGGTTAAATTTATTTTTTTTTATCAATAATTTTGATGACGTGGAGAGCTGACTAGATTTAAACTAACAGAATTTTGGATGGAGAGTGACGGAATGACCGTTTTGTTACTTGCTCAAACGTGTATTACCAAAACGTGCAAATTAAAGGATTGTGACCAATTTGTACAAAGTGAATAGGTTTGTGACCATTTATGATAATTACCCAAGATAAATGCATAAGGGTTGGGATTGGGATAATAAATGGTCGGCAGGCTGTAAATTAGGGAATTAAAAAAGGAATGGGAACATGAATCACTAAAAGACTCCCTCTTCCACTTCGTAGTTCGAAGGAAATTAATCGACGGGGCGGAGTAGGGTGGAACAGAGCGGGTTAGCCTCCAATATTCATATATGCCCTATTTTAAGAGCGGATCAGGTCAAGATCCAACCCGTTCAAGAAAGGATCGGATTTTATCCACCCTAATGCAGGTCAGATAGGAAAAAATCAATCGGGGTGTGTTTGGTTTGTCATCCCTACTATCAGGTTTTGTCAAGAGGTTCCATACATGTTTTCCAATGAGTGCTTCATTAAAATCATATAGATTTTTGAAACCCATCCCACCCTCTGTCTTTGATTTACATAGCTTGTCCCACCCCTTCCAATGAATACGTCTTTCTTCCTTCTTCCTACCCTACCATAATCTAGATATTGAGCTATGAATCTCCTGTATCACACCTAGGGATGGCAATGGGTAGGGTCGGGTGCGGGTTTACCCTATACCAACTCCTAACCCGCCGGGTAGATCCTTCTAAAATACCCGACCAAATAACCACCGGGTATGAAAATTATATAACCATGCCCTACCCACCGGGTAACCACGGGTATTCGGGTGACCATGGGTATGAATCCTAAACTATGAACTTATACACATATATGCACATACATAGTGTTGTCCATTAAAAATTCTCAATACTTGTAACTGTTCTACCTTCAACAACCCACACAAATAAAAACAACAAACACATAATAATTGTTCTTGCTTCTACAATCCACACAAACATAATAATCGTCTACATCTTTATCATCAATAATGGTAGCTAAACTCAATTTCTCAAGCTAAGCTAAATTTCTCAAGGGAAATTGACCCTTTGGTTAGCGGGGCGGGTATAACCGGACGGGTACTATCGATTACCATACCCGTACCCTACCCTTTATTTTGAAACCAGGTATTACTCGTACCCGCCCCTTAACCCGTCAAAGCGGGTAATTACCCTCGTTGACCGGTTACGGTCGGGTAGGGTACCCATGATTACGGGTTGGATTGACATCCCTAATCACACCTTCCGGTACAAGAAATATAGACATGGCGTAGAGTCTCTGAGCCTGTGTTATGGCCTTCATCCGCACCTCTTTCGCCGAACTAGACAACAACTTACTCTTCCACATTTTCATCTTCTTGTGGACCTTATCAATAAGTTTAGTAAGAACTGCCTTTTTTACCTGCCAATGTTTGTTGGTAAAGGTGTTTATCATGTTGCATCACTGTTTCCATCCCTAGAATATCAGTCATCGCTTTTTTCTCGTCCTCATCCACATTCCCATTGAAGGAGAGTTCAAATTTTGTTAAATTAATATGTTGTTTAGAGATATTCTCGTAGAGCTGAAGAATCATCTTCAAACCTTCCCCTTATGTTTTCTTAGTTTGGAAGAAAAAAGGTTGTCGTCTGCGAAGAAGAGGTGTGAAATGACATGCCCATTGCCCACTTTAATCCCCAGCAAGCTTCCCCTTTCCATCACCTTTATTGTTCATGCCGAGAGGCCTTCTGCACAAAGAAGAAAAAGGTAGGGTGATATAGGGTCACCCTGCCTCACTCCTCTCGATGGCTTAATCAAGGTTGTTTGATGTCCATTCATTAAAGATGAATACATTACTGTTGTAACACACTCCATGATAAGTTTTACCCATCTGGCATCATATCCTAGTTTCAACATCATAGCTTCCAGAAAACACCACTCAATCATATGATAAGCTTTTGATATGTCTAGTTTCGCAGCAACATAGCTTATCTTTCCTTCCGTTCTGATTTTCATGACATGAATGCACTAAAACGCCACTAGTATATTATCTGTGATATTTCTGCCAGGGACAACAACTCTTTGGGTTTCTGTAATAACCTGCTCTAGAATCCTCTTCATCCGGTTTGCTAAGACCTTAGAGAGGATCTTGTACATAACCCTATAAAGACTAATCGGTCTAAACTCCGTTGGGGAGTTATGCTTCTTCATTTTGTGGATCAAAACTATCAAGGTGTGGTTTAGCTTTTCTGGAATTATCCCACTAGTTAGACTTCCTTATAGCTCCCTCGTCGCCACCTCTCTAATACTAGACCAATTCTTATGAATCAACATAGCAAACATTCCGTCTGAACTAGGTACTTTTGTTGGAGCCATATCTTTCAGTGTCTACCATATTTCCTCATATGTGAAGGGTCTCATCAGTTCTTCATTCATTTGACTCGTAACTTTTGGATCAACTGCATCTAGGACCTCTTCCATATCTCTGACTGCTCCTGTTGAGTACAGCTCCCTTAAATATGTTGAAGAGCGAGCTGGATGCAGAGCCGGAATCACCATTAACATATTCGTCGTCGAGCACACCGTAGAGCCAAGGAAAGGCGACAGATGAAAGATCTTCTGGGGAATTGTGCCTACTTAGCACTGAAGTAGAAGATCGGAGCGGGAGAATGCACTCAACCTAAGGCAGGTTTTGACAAGTTAGGAATATAGTGTGTTTTTATATGAGTGATTTTTGGTTGAAGAAGAAGAAGGATATGGTAGGGGTGGCTGGTCAGTTTCCGATTAGCGGCTAACTGGCGGTTTTAATCGCTAATCGTCGGTTAGCCACTAACTGAAAACCGGTCGGTTACTAATCGTGATCGGTGTTCGGCAAGGGTGAAGGGTTCTTCGGTTAGTCGAGTAACCGAAGGTGGTTAACCGAGGTTAACCGGCTGACCGACCCCCAACCGAAAATGTAAAAAAGGAGGAGGAATAGGAGTGCTAAATCCAATTAACCTTTCCCCTCCCCATCTAGTTCTCGACGAACCCTAAATCCAAAAAATAAAAAATTGTTAAATCCTCTTTTCCCCGCGCCGCGCCTCCGTCCCAATCCAGTTGATCGTCCGCCTCCGCCTTCACGCTCGATCGCCGCTGCGCTCGTCCGCCTCCGCCTTCACGCTCGATCGCCGCTGCGCTCGTCCGCCTCAGTCTCGTTGCCCCGCGCGGAGCCGAGCGCCTCCTCTCCCCGTGCCTTCGTCGCCTCCGCCTCCGTCATGTCGCGCGTGCCGCCGTTCCCAGAGATTCAACAGAGAAGGTGAGTGCCTCCTCTCCCCGCCTTCATCGCCTCTGCCTCCCTCCCGTCGACGGGTTCCAGCCGCGCCTCCATTCCCCTGGCGACTGCTACTTCTTCCAGTTTAAAATGGAGAGACGGAAGGAGAGAGAAGGAAGGAGAGAAATAGCAGTTGCGGTGAGGAAGACGCCCAATGATTTCTGTTTACTGAGTTTTTTATTTTTATTGAATTAAACGCAACGTTTTGGAGAGAAGGGGTAGGTTTTTTTGTATGCGGCTAACCGAGCCTAAAACCAAAACCAGCCGGTTGGTTGGCCGCTTAACCGTGGCTTCCCTCATGGTCGGCAGCCATATGAGGTGGCTCGGTTTAACTGATAACCGAGAATATGATTTTCGATTAAACCGAAATCGACCGACTGACACCACTAGGATATGGAGTAGGGTATCTGAGTTTTTTTTTATGAGTCGGAGGATAGAAGAGAGGGGGGGAGAGGGGAGAAAAATGAAAATGACTTTTTTCCAATTAATTCCATTTAGGTTGTTGACCTTTGCCGAATCAACATTTTCGTTAGTCCAGTTAGCATGTTAGACGACACTATTAAAGAATTGAATAAACTTGACTATTTTATGTATTTCTCCAAAAATGTCTATTATTGACAAAAGTTTGAAAATTATATTTTGCCTAATTAAAAACCAAACATATTTCACCCTTTAAAAAACAGCTTAAAACCTATCATTCTTTTTTTTTAAACCATTTTTCCCTTTACACTCAATCCAACTACTTTCAAAGTTGTAAAGAAACAACACCCCATTAGAAATTCAATATTTTCTAGCCAAAAATAAAATTTCCCCCAAAATTCCCGCTAGACCAGGTCCAATCTACTCATTCCCGTCAATCCATAATTTTCAATTTCCCCCTTTTCTCCCCTTCCTCTTCCAAGCTTTCTCCTTTCTCATCCCCATCTCCTCGCCCTCTTGTTTCCATTCGTCACCCTTCTTTTCTTACAATCATCCGATTTCTGGGCTAGGGTTTTTTCCACTTTCCTCGTTGGAAAAAGATGACGTCGGTGAAGAAAGGTTTGCCGCCGGGCCTCGTTTCCAATCTCCAGGAAGTTCTGAGCAGCAGAAAGGGTGGTGTCGGTGAGCAATCGAACGATGGACCTTCTACTTCTTCTACTTCTGCTGAGAACGCTGCGGCAGGGGAAGGAAATGATGATACCAGGCCTATTGTTCTGGTCACCAATGGCGATGGGATTGATTCCCCTGGTCTTCTCCTTCTCGTGGAAGCTTTGGTTCGTGAAGGAAGCTACAATGTCCATGTCTGCGCCCCGCAACTGTGAGTTTTATTTCCCTTTCGTTTCCTTTTGTTTTTCATTGTATGGTTGCCTTGCATTCCTTATCTGGGTGGGATCTGTTCAATGTAAGATATGATTTTTAGTTAGTTTTATTTACCACATGGATAGCATTGTTCTTTTTTAATGGTTATGGTCAACTTGAGCATGTTTTATGTTTAAATGTTCCTTCCTGTTCCAACTGGAGATTATTCGTGATTTGTTTAGTTTGTGTTTGTTGTTGGTTTCAGGGACAAATCAGCTTCTGGTCATTCTGTTACACTAGGAGAAACCATAGCTGCGACTTCTGCTCAAGTTAGTGGTGCTACTGCATATGAAATTTCAGGTACTACTTGCATTAGTTTCCTGGTGGCACGCAAGCCGTTGTATGATGGAAACTCAGCTATATACATATGTATACCAGTATATGTATGAGATGTTTTCTGTCCTGGAGCTTGCGTTATCTATAGATAGTTTACTTGTTAATCTATCATAGTTGTAAAGATATACGGTGGTCTTTGTCGCTCAGGGACTCCTGTGGATTGCGTCTCATTAGCATTGTCTGGAGCACTCTTTTCTTGGTCAAAGCCTGTGCTGGTTGGCCTTTTTATGCTCTTATTATCTTTAGTTTACATATATCTAAGGTATCACAGACTTCATTTGCAATTACATTTAAGTCATTTTGATTTTCAGGTCATTAGTGGAATTAACAAGGGATCAAGCTGTGGTCACCACTTGTAAGTGCCTGGCACTTGGTTCATTGTTTGCAAAGTGCTCTTCCTTTTTAAAATACCGTGATATATGATCTTTGAAAAGCATGAAGTCATGAACCTTGCTTAGTGTTTTCCTTCATTGGCTTTTTCTTAATTGAAGGCTAAGAGTGCTTATATCTTGCTGAAATTGACCAGGTTCTACTCAGGTGTTGTTGCTGGAGCTAGAGAGGCATTGATAAGCGGCTTCCCATCTCTATCAATCTCACTTAACTGGTGATCATTAAACTGCCAAGAAAACTGTTGCTTGTTCTGTTTTCTCTACTGGTCTTATTGCTTAAGTAATTAAGTTGGGGTCAAATCACTGTAGGAAGAAGGATGAGAGCCAAGAAAGTGATTTCAAGGATGCTGTTGCTGTCTGTTTGCCATTGATAAATGCTGCTTTGAGAGATATTGAGAAGGGGGATTTCCCCAAGAGATGTTCTCTGAACATACAAATCCCTACCTCACCATCTACAAACAAAGTAAGCTTTTATATATAATTGATACGTGAAGTTTCTGTTTTAATGCTTTGCTGACTAGCTCCCTAGCTTGCAGGAGCCAATGCTGTGAAATGGAATTTGAACCTTTAAATTTGTTATTCTTGAAGATATGTACAAGCTAATTTGGGGTTTTCTGAATGGCTGTCTTCACATTGTTTCTGCAGCAGTCTTTTCCCTCTCCTCTCTTAGACTCTGTTTTGTTGAGTTATAACTCACACTCCAAGTGCATCAAAATAGAGTTTCTTTTGGTAAATCTCATTTTAGCGGTGTTTTTGCTCTTGATTGATAATATCCCCGCTTTCTTTTATCTGGCAGGGTTTCAAACTTACTAAGCAAAGTATGTGGCGATCTACCCTCAACTGGAATGCTATTTCTGCAAACCGGCATCCTGGTGCTGGATACATGTCTAATCAACAAAGCCTTGGCCTACAGCTAGCCCAGCTTAGTCGAGATGCCTCTGCTGCTGTGAGTCATTTTCTGATCTTTTGCTATTTGTTTCTTTTTGAAGTCTATTTCTGGACTTTCAAGCCTTGTTTATTCCGTTTGATTCATGCAATTTTGGTCCGCTTTTCTTCAGGGAGCAGCACGTCGTGTTACCAAACAAAAGACGAATGTGGAGATTGAGTCAGTTGGGGCCTCTGGGAAAACCGAAGTGAACAAATTGAAAAAGTATTTCAGACTGGAGGTAAATCATTCCTACCCACTGTCACAGTTATAGTTTTGAGCGGCTTTAGTGGTTAGAGACGGCTTTCCATATCGTTTGCTTCAACCACTGATTCAAAGAATTACCTGCTTTGCTTGCTGTCAGTTTATGGAGAAGGAGCTAGAAGACACAGACGAGGACCTGGACTTCAGGGCCCTTGAAAACGGATTCGTAAGTCACTTTTTTCCTTCGTTCACTTTTTATTTCCGTGATTGGTATTCCTAGTACTGGTTCACGGCTCATTTGATAATCTCTGGAGCGTTTGTTGGTTGGTGTGTGACTTTTGCTGGCATGTGAATTTATCATTAAAACAAGATTGTTATAGATTGAACCATACCACTTTCCAAAAGTTTATGTACATGATTTTGATGTGTCACTCACTCACTCTCACCCCATTTTTATGCTCCCAACCTTAACATGCTGAACCACCTTTCATATGTCACCTAAAACATCAAGAACTGTCTGGGCAACTGCAATAGTCATCAAGGCATTCAATCTGAACATGGAGCTAGGGTTTCCTAACCTTCATAACTAAACTGCATTGTCCATCTTTCACTTACCAGATTGCAGTAACTCCCCTCTCACTCTCACCCCACATTGAACCCGAAATGCAAACAGCAGCCTCGGAATGGATCTCTTCTTCACTTCAAGAGAGCCAATAGGAAAACAAAAAGGGGGCTTCTTCTACTACAGATACCAGTCAACTATTTACATCATCAGACTATTTTTGTACACATTGACAGGTTATATTCATTTGCTATTTCCCAATTCTTTCCCACTCTGGTTTTTTTTCCTTCTTTTCCCCCTCCATTTTGATGGAATCTTGGGTCTGGCTTGTTCTTGTGTAGCTTTTCTTCTTCTTCCTCCTGGGATACTAGTGTAACTCAAAACTGCGGTGGCAGGGGTCTTAATTATATGCCCCCTTCCTGCAATGGCCCTCTTTCATCTGTTTTTTGTATTTATTTTGGTTTCTTGATATGTATTTGATCAAATCTTGTATCAGATTCTGGCTTTTAGAGTCCATGTATTCAAGTCTTCAAGTTGGTGGTATCCATTGCTATTCCTTGGTTTTTCATGATTACATAAAGGCTGGAGCTGCCAAGTCCTTTTCAAGTAAAAGGGTTTGATTCCTCACTCCCCAAATCATTTCCTTGCTCGTTCATAAAGGGAAGAAATGATGGAGCCTTTCCTTCGATGTTATGGTCCACAACAACATGACAACAATAATGCTGCTCGTACCCTTTTTTGTTGGATTGAAATCCAAGGCAAAGTGGCGAACTCAGTTTCACAATTGAATAAAATATCACTTTTTGAAAATACATTATATATCACTGACACTGTGACACATGACAGTCACGTGCATCTACATATAATGTTCATCCTTTTTTTTCTAAAAGCACGTCGAGTTTGTCTTCGTTGAATAGCAAGGTTGTCAAATCGGTTTATACCGTTGTGTCGGTTTGGCAAGTGGAATGGTATGACCAGTGGTATAACCAGTTTGTGCCGATTCATGCCGGTTTAAAAAAATGTGAAAACTATTAATATCCAATGTATCTAATCATATATAAAATATATTTGTGGACAATTTAGTTACAATCCAACAAATATCATCAACTTTTAACTATTACATTCATAAAATGAATAATAAATTAATTTTTTTATTCATTAAATTCATTAAAATAATGTCATTTTACTTGGAATGCGTAAGTCGATCATACCGGTCATACCAGTGGTGTCATGCCGGTTTCATGACCGACACAGGTTGAACCAGGTTCAACCGGGTGGCATGCCACCGGCATGACAACAATGTTGGATAGGCATGTGTAATGTGTTGCACAATGCATGTTTTTCGTGGTAGCGCATATTTTATAGATAGAATATGAAGAATTTATGTAATGTCGTATTTTGCACGAATTGTGATTAGAATATATTTGTGCAGAAAATAATAAAAACACAAGTAAATATGAAAATTACAGAGTTGTCCTATTCATCTTATATAGAGAAATATAAAGTGGGAGGAGTGCTAATATAGAAAATACTGGTATCCGAATTCAATATGTGTTAATATAGTGAATCATTTTTTTTACATATAATTTCTAAAAATATCGATAAATACTACATTTAGTACTTAAAACTTTCTCTTTCTCTCTTAAATTTTGTTATCTAAGCTTTTTAAAATTTACAAACATGTTAATCTTTTTAATACCTACACTGAAGGAATGCGAGCGTGCTGATGCCAAGAAACTGTTGTCGCACACTTGCATTCCTAAGGTCGCTCTACATCAAGAGCATGTGATACAAACCTTTTCGGCCCGTCCCACCTTCGACGATCAAGTTAGAGAGAAATTAAGAGTACAACTTTTAGTGCAAGAGCGTTAATAGGCGTGTCAGATAGACAATTGACCATCCAAGCCACCTCAATAACCAAGAATGATCACGCTTTGATCATGAGACCATGATTCATCCACCAAGCTCGAGATCCTGTCATTAAAAATAACTAATAGCCTGTCAGATAGACACATGATCATCCAAGCCACCTCAATAGCCTAGGAGAGGGAGTGATTATAAGGTGTGTTCCATTGTCTTAAGACTAACTAAGATTTATCCTTTAGGGCAAGGGCTTTATCTTCTAAAATCCAAGAATATTTGTCGGGGAAGACAAAGGGCGGCGGCGACAAGGAGCAGAAGGAGGCGGCGACCTGGAGCAGAGGGCGATGCCGGCTCGTCGGGGAAGACAGACGAGAGAGGGAAGCTCGCCAATGTTGGTAGTTCAGGGTTTATGTTTTTTTTTTCTTAATTTGGGGTCAAAATTGTCCATTTAATATAGTTTAGGGCGATTTATTTAAAAATTTAGAGCGTCGTAGAAGTTCAGATTTTTTTTTCACGAATACATCCATTAAATTTGAATTCGGAAAAAACTTACCAACATGATCCATTGCCATCTCTACCCTCTAGGTCCATATGTGATATGAGTCATATGACTGTAGCTCTCTCTCTTAGAAAGCAAGAAAGGGAAACAGAAGTAGATTTGGGACCAATGGGCTAAAAAGCCCATATTAGGCCCAACGAACATCAAACGCTCTCACTTCGAGTCTCTTGCTCGTATCGAATTCACTCAATCGCCAATTCCCAAATTCCGCCATCGCTAGGGTTTTAGCCAGCCGGACTGAACATCGAGGGATTCTTCCCCGCAAGAAATGTCGTCGAAAGCCTTGGCCCAGAATGGAGCTTCGCTGATCAGCCGACTGTTCCGGTCAAATCCGATTCTCCACCAGCAAATTCCTATCTTGCCGAATCACCATCAACTTCTTCAAGCTGCGCCTCACGCCCTGCGAATCACACCGCAGCTATTCCCTTCTCTGCACAAATTTCCGGCTCCTGAACATTCGCCCCAGATCGACGACTTCAATTCGATCCGGAGACTAGCAAATGAAGGGTTCCTGAATCCTTGCGGCCTTCCCTCGCTTGAGTTCTTTTTGCCCGAAGGTGCTCGCTCCTTTCCCTCTCTCTCCCTCCACCGCTCATTGGTTTGTTTGTGATGACGCGGAGAACTGTTAATTTTTCTGCAATGAATTCAAGAGGATCATAGAAAGCTATGAGCTTGAGATGAGCTGCTTGATTGGTTTTAGTATTGTCAAAGCTTGTGGGGGAGAGTTACATCCTTCCAGTTTAGTCGCCAGTGCTGAAATGAAGAATGGTCAAAGGAAGGGAAATTGGATCAGTTTATTGCCTGTTTGGGAGCATTTACTGGAGTTTTATTCCCTTTTGTTATTTTTCCATACTATCAGTTCACTGGCACTAGATGAGAGAAGATAGTTGATCTACAGAGCAGTCTCTGCTTTTATCAGCTGAGGCTGTGTTCATCTAAATCGTTCTTATAACCCCCCCGTCTCATCGAGTAATCTATCATGGGTTTGAGTGTAGTAAACCTTCGTCTGTGAGGTTGTTGTAGCCAGGTTCCTTTGTCTGTCCTCCGCAATGATATATGATGTTGTAATGTGTTCAATGATGTAGAATCAACAGGTTTTCGTCTTTACCGTTTTGATCCCTGCATGATTTGTTTGCTTCTACTGTACATACAGGCGATTCGTCTGATGAAATGCTGTTGTTTCCGAAAAGGACATTCCAACCTAGCACCCTCAGGCGTAAAAGAAACCATGGATTCTTTGCACGGTATTCCTCCCCTCGACTTGTCTAAGAAACTTGGGAATTCTAGTGTTCGCAAATGTTCTCGTGCTTCCTTTTTGCTGACTGCATGAACATAATCCACATATAAACTTGGTTATAGCCGAAGTATTGTCGGTTGCTTGCATTCACTGTAATAAGCATAAATGCAAGTTCGTGGTGTATGTTCAGAACCATTGCACTCAGCATCATACTATCATGGTTAACATTGTCTTGGTTCATGGACAGCAAGGCAACCAAAGGTGGTAGGAAAGTCATTGCGCGAAGAGTAGCGAAAGGGCGATTCAGAATTACTGCCTGATTGATCGATGGAACTTGTGCAATAAGGATAGAGGGGTTAGAGTTCGTCTGTAGCACAAAGGACCGGCGGCAAAAGGAGGTCATTGTTCCCCTTGGCATATCCCCTGTTTATGGGATGAATTTCATTGAGTTTTTAGAAAAGCTAGAATCAATTTTCTTTTTCTCACGACTAGGCTGCTGTATAAATATTACTGGTGTGCTTGAATTGGGCGAAGAAGGTTTCATAATTTCTTCTGTGTCGCTCTCTATTTGCTGTTTGCATTTGCAATGTTAAGAAGTGCACCGCACCAATACAAAGAAGTGCCCCATTTTACGAAACCCATCCTTCTACTGATTTTCCTTATTTCCTTCATTACAATTTTGTTTTGTGCACCCAACTTTACAAAACATTTTCAAACTCGAGGCACCTCAATCTCAAAAACAAAATTTTCAATAAGAACATGATTCTTATTGATTGAGTAGTGAGATTTGAAAGACCCTTATGGAATATGTTTGTGGTTACCTACGTCCTACTGGATATATTCGAACCTCCCTATATCTATAGCGAATCAGAGGTTGCCGGAGAGAAAGAGTGAGGGAGGGAGGAAGGCGGTTGGGAAGTGTGTTGATGGGGATGGAGAATAGGACTGCAGGGCTGCAAATGAGCCGAGCCGAGTCGAGTTTTACCCCAGTTTGAGCTCGGCTCGTTTACAAACGAGTCGAGCTCGAGTTCAGCTTGTTATTAACGAGCCGAGTCGAGTCGAGCTCAAACTAGCTTGTTTACTAAAATTTTGGCTTTTATTTGGCACTTCATTTTGTATATCATGGTACATATGTATTATTTTGTTAGCTAATCTCATATTATACTTTGTTGGTATCATATATAATTTAGTTAATGATTTTTAACTACTCCATATAATGTTATTTCATAGTATCGAAGCAATCTATGATACATAATTTCTTTTTAAAGTAGAAAATAGGATATATTTGCTCACATACTCAACGTGTTAAATTTTATATATGGTGAGATAGATAATTTAACAACCATATGAATTAAAATCATAAGATATAGATTGATTTGTCCATAAGTCGGTAATCGAGTTGGCTCTAGCCACATGTTGAGACATATCATTAGCTCTAAACGAGCCAGCTCACGAGTTTAGCTCAACAAGCCACCGAGTCGAGCTAGCTCGCGAGCTTCACGAGTTGAACAAAGTTTAGCTCATGTTCGGCTCGTTTATTAACGAGCCGAGTTTCGAACGAGCTTTTCTCGAGTCGAACGCCGAGCCGCTCGCGAGCAGCTCGGCTCATTTGCAGCCCTGTGTTGTAGTGTTTGAGTATAATATACATAAATTATAAAGTGTTCTATTTTTTCTGTTTCCAGAATTGTTTTTCATCTAATTTTTATTGTCAATTTAAAAATAGGATAAAATAGAGATAGTGAGTAGTATAGATTTTGGCAGCCAGCTAACTCATTCCCCTTCCAAATGGATAAATGCCACATTTGGTCACTGATATTACTAAATCGTGTCATGTTTAGTCATTTAAAAAGTTCAATATCAATTTTGGTCATTCGAATTACTGGAACAAGTCACATTTAGTCACTCTATGGAGTTGGACGGAAACTAACGGGAAAGTGACTATATGTGACCTGTTTCAGTAATTCTGAGTGACTAAATGTGACGTGTTCAGTATTTCGAGTGACTGGAGTTAGACGGAGGCTACCAGGATAGTGACTAAATGTGACCTGTTTCAGTAATTCGAGTGACCAAAATTGATATTAAAATTTTCTAGTTAGTGTTTGACACGATTTAGTGAGCAAAATGTGGCATTTACCCTAAACTGAATTCATAACCAACTTTACTTTACTAGACACAAGACATGTTCATTAGTCATTACATTATAGAGCTACACTAGACAAGCGTCCCATCCCACAAGTTATTAGCCAATTTCGTCACAATTTTCAGCCATTTCAGAACCACCATTACACGACACGAATGTTTCCTTTCCATGCATACAACCAGAAGTTGAACTCTTTCTACTTTTAGCTTAACAGCAGCAGACCAGCCAAACAGCTTCTTCATCCCGAATTCCTTGAACTATGATCCAAATCGGATCTCATGATACGGTCTTCTTGCCCTGCGGCATTGGAGGGTAAACATCTCTGGACAGTGGCATTGATCTCATACAGTACAACTCATCATCCTCCTCTTCCTCCTCCTCAATCAACTGGTTTCTCTGAAGACCTACATTGCTGCAATGCCTACTCCAAGTAACCGCCTTCTGTTGTTTCGCCTTGGTTGATTCTGTGAGGCTCATGTAGCTCGGCTGCTGCTGCTTCTCACAACAACTCTGCTGCTCTTGATCAATAGATGTAGATGAATTTGTCGAGAGGAAGCTGGTTTCCTCGTAGAGTGTCTCGGAACTCATGGTTGAAGATGAGCCATTAGTACCATGATTATGATGATGAACCACCATGGATGGTGTTGGTTTGGCTGAGACTCGAGTGCTCATATTGTTCTTCCTCACCTTGACCGACGAGGAAGAAGCCGGCTCATGGTGCTTAAGTTTTGAGGAGCAAGTTGATGTGTACATGTTGTCAGCACTTTTTCTTGACAAGAGAGGAGGTTGTGGTGGTGGTGGTTGCGTTGGAGAGATCTCTAGTGAATCAGCTCTTGCATGGCTGTGGCTGCTGCTTTCCTCCATCAACCTGCTCTCCCATGGCTTTGCTGCCATCCAACGGTCGAGCCAGCTCCATCCGAGTGGGTTGTATTCATCCCCCTTCTGATGATGCTTGGGAGGAACAATTGGTTGCTGCTTAGAATTGTTGCTAGTCTTCCTACCCGGGCTTGGACATGCTTTCACAGCCTGCAACTAACATCGAAAAGATTGAAATGTTCAAGCCAATAACCATATATGGAGTAAAAAATCATAAAGTTATAAATCTACATAGCAAATCGACAAATTGGGTAAAAGTTGAAGTATGAGGTAGCTACAATTTTAGATAGCATTCTACTTATTCGAGTCCACTATTCGAAATTTGCATAGGTTTCATCATCAAACACAACTCCAAAGAAGGGATTTCGACTAGCATGATATCCTTGCAATTGGTTCTACCTGTTGAGATAGGGCATATGCAATGGCTCTTTCTCTCTTGATAGCTCCTTCTAGCCTCATTTGCAACTTCGTTCTCACTTGATCCACTGTTCCAGGACTGTTACACCAACGTTTCTGCAAATTTTCGGGGACCAAACAAGATAGCAATGTGAGGGTGACAGTTGATCCAAGAGTAATTATTTAGGTTTTATAATCCAAAATGTGTGGTCTTTATTAATTACCTCAGCTTGCTTAGTGGGATCAGCATGGTTCCTATAAGCATCCAGCATCTGCTGGACAGCTTGCCCTTCTGAGGATATTCTGACTGCAGTTGCCCGAACTCGAGCCTGAACTCGAACTAGAGCTTGCATACACCTTAGTGTCACTACAGCTTGCTTTCGAACCTGCCTTCCGCGGAATATGGCTTGAATTCTCACCACTGCTCTTAAGGCCCTCAATGCCCTCCTTGCCTAAAAGATACCAATCAAGTTCACACAGTTAGAACTTGGATACAGCAAAATTTTCTGATTCCTTTAGAGGGAATTAAAATTTAGGAACAATTCCTTACTTTGTCAACCAAAAACCAGTAAAGACTTCAACTTTATGTTTCACGACACAGTAATTTCACTATTTTGGAAACCCAATACTCCATTAGAGCCCTAAAGTATAAACATGCAACCAAATTAGTGAAATTCTATAGGAAGGTTTAGGTCTAAGTGTCTAACCATACCACAGTCTAGATATTGTACTGAATTAGTAACTTGTCGGGAGCGATTTCCTAATTTGCATCATCAAAATCCAATTATGGACTTCAACATAGCCCTAACAAGCCCTGAAACCTCAAAGGACAATCCAGACAGAGAGTATCCAAGTTCCGAACTTTACACTAAATACTGAGAAATTGTGAGTTTACCAGCAAGCCTCGGAAGGCGGTTTGGATCCGGATGGCAGCCCATTCTTTCTTGACAGCGATGAAGTCCCTAGCCGGAGCTCTGGCGACGGTGGCCATAGCGGCGGTGAAAGAGTCGTCGTTTGAGGAGCAAGTAAAGCTGTTGTACTCATCGGATTGAGCTACCACGTGGCCCCTTTTGAAGCCGTCGACCGAAGGAGAAGAAGAAGAGCAAGCGGAGGAAGCAGATGACGACGGATGATTAAACCCTTCGGATGAGCTTCTCCACAGCTTCCATTTCTTCTTCCCTCCTCCCTTCCCATCCCCTCCTCGTTTCTCCTGCACAGAAACAACATACATAAAAAAAATTACTTCTCCATTTCGTAATTTAAAACTGAGCTGAGAGATTGCTCTGTTTTTAGGAGGTAGGAGCTTACGAGGTCAGCGGCGGAAGAGGTGATCTTTTTGGGAGGGATCAGCGATTTCAGCCATTTCCCTGAAGCGCCCATTGCTTGGAAATGGATTGGCTTCCCGACGAATTGGCAAGCAAACCGGAGAGGAGAAGAGAAAGCCTGTGGGCGTGGGGTTATGGGGAGAAGAGAGAGAGAGAGAGAGAGAGACGCGTGTATGTTTGTGGGAGATCGAGACAAAAAAGGAAACGAGGATGGTTTACTAGTGGAAGAAAGAGAGAGGGGGGAGACAGAGATGACAATTCAGAATTTGAAATTTGAAATCTTGAATTGATAACGGATATATAGGAATTGGACTGTCTCTTTTTTTTTCTTTCTTTTTTCAATACAAGATATCAAACAAATATTTATAACCAAAATCGTGATTGTTATGCAGGTGTTATACCGGTCGGTTGAACCTTGTTCAACTGATGTCGGTCATGAAATCGGCGTAATAATCATTAGTATGATTTGTATTGATCGATTTACGAATTCTAACCAAAATGATGTTCTGTCAATGAATTTAACTAATAAATTTATTATTTATTCCATTAATTTAAAAGTCAAAATTTGATGTTATTTGCTCAATTATAGGTAAATTGTCATCAAATATGTTTTATATTAAATTCATTGCATGTAATAATTTTTACATTTTTTTATTAAATCGACATAAACAGATACATCTACCACCGATCTTATTATTCCACTTGCCAACTGTAGACACCACATTTTGTCCAGATCGATACTTACAGTCATTTTTAAACTGCTATCTCTCAACAGTTGAATAAGGATTGTTCATGTTATACAAGGATTGTTCATGTTATACGACAATACGATCTTCGGCTCAAGTTTTGTTCAAGATGAAGCATTCAAGATCTATGCACAAGAGGGTTGAATGCACAAGGAAAATACAAGATCGTGTTTTTGAAGATATTAAAATTCGATACAATCATCGAAACTATTACAAAAGTTTATACACCTAAACATCGATCAAGTTTACAAATACGAAAGCTGAGAAGTACAAGCAATTGAAAAACCCACACCAGCAGCCTGCAAAACATAGAAAAATAGATCAGCTAATTCAGGCCTGAAATCCAAATACAGATGCAAAGCCCAAGTCAAAAGGCCCACAATCTGAGCCCAAGTCGGTTCACAAGCCCACAGTCGGGTTCGGACCAACTCGGGCCAACCTTATCTAAACCAGTCTCTGCCCACCCTATCTACAACCGCCTCACAATCAGCCACTCCCCAACACGTGGCATAAAATTTTGATATAAGAAGAGTTTTGGGGACGGTTTTTGGGGGAAACGGGCAAATAGGGGGAAAAGAAAGAAAACATCTCACAGATCAGAGAGTTCAATTTTTCCCTTTACTTTTTTGGTGAGATTAGAGCGAATTTGGCGAGAGTTTCACGTTGCTTCTAGTTACAAGTAGTGTAAGCAAACAAAGCAGAAGCAAGGCGTCTAGATCTGATCTGAGGTTAGTACCCTGTGTACTCTTTTTTTTTTTCTCTACTTGAGTAATGACATGAATCCATATTGCCATGTCTCTTCTAATTACTTCCATGAGCAGTTATTAGTACATAAATATGCGATGCACTGCTGCCATTTATTCGCATTTTGTCTCTATTTTACTCCCTTACCATCATCTGTCTAATTAATTTCCCAGCTATTACTATGCATATTTGGTAAGCATGAATGCATGATAATTCCATTTTTACATTATTCCACAACGGTTTTTTTTAATTAATTCTAGCCTAGCTAAAAAATTTTAAATTAATTCTAGCCTAGCTAAAATCACAAGCAGCGGCTGTGATTATAAGAAGAAAATTGGTTTCGGAAAAAACGGGAGCCCCATTTCAAATTTCCTGCAACGATAGTGAAAGTATGGGATTTGAACCATGACCATTTTAAAGAAAAACAACATAACCAATCACACTAAGTACATTTGTTGTATTTTTTTAAATTAAAAACATATAATAGCAGGGAGGAAAAAAAACTCTTCCCACATTTCAAATTCCTTGCTCCAGGAGCGTTTGTAGGAAGGGTAGAATAGGGAGTGTCAATTTTTTTCTCTTTCCTCTGTGGAACGGGTCAACTTACCGTACACATGCGGATTTAAACGGGTCCAGAAGTGTCAATTTTTTTCTTTAAGCCTTTTATTTCTCCCTGGTGATAAAATATATATGAAAAGGCAAAAACAATACTCATTTTTATTGCTAAAAATAAAAAATTTAACAATAAACTAATGCATGGTATCTAATGGGCTAACTGCTAACCATAAAATAAAAGAGTTGAATGGGTCTGACCTACACGGGATTTGGCCATCAAGTAATACAAATGAACATCATTGGTTTGTCATTCTAAAACAAGCTATTTTCTCTGGCATAATATATATTATGCTATTATTTTATATCTTAGTGTCTAAAATATAATGTATTTTAAAGTTATTCAATGGTTCAACCTCGACCAACCCAATTAGTCCAATTTTTATCATTTCAAATAGGAATGACAATGGGGCATGTCCGGGGCGGGTATCTCGATACCCATACCCGCCCCATGGCAGGTCGGGTATTTTATCACGGGGCGCGGGTAGGGGCAGGTCGACCCGTTGGGTATGTAATTATGCGAAAAATATTAGAAACATTCGTTATTTTCATTAAAAGACCAAGAAAGAAACCATAATATGATAAAATGTAGTTAAATTATTGAATAAATTGGGGTTTTCACTTATTTACAACTTTATTATAGCTAAAATATAATGTAATAAGAGGAAAATCCTAAGTAATTTGACTAAGATTATATGTAATATAGGCAAGAACGGGTCGAAAATGGGGCGGGTCAGGGCAGGTCGGGTTGATGAGAGGTACCCATGCCCGCCCCGCCCATTTAACGAGGTCAAACAGGTCGGGTAAATCGGGTCAGGTCAAAATTGTCATCCCTAAAATATATATTATATAATTATTTGATATCATAATGATCAAATTATAGTATATTTTATAGGGAATCGTTTGGTATTTGTTAGTAAAAACTAAACAGAAAGATTTATTTGGTTATTTTAAACATTAAAACGATCCTAAACATTTTCAGTTCCTTTTGAATTTTTATGGTTTTATTCTCGAATAAGTGATGTGCAAATGGCGAATTGCAGTCATCTCTTTTCTTTCACTATTTTTTATTTTCAAATAGAAAGTTTAAAAATAAAGAATAATTAGTATTTGGCATGGGTCGGTCAAACATGCTGAATTTCAAGTTTTGGCCCATTTTGATCAAGTCTAATTTATAATCACATGGTTCCCTGATACCCGATAAAAATCTCAATCCAAACCAGTTTGGCAGGTGAGTCTGTGTTTACCACCATTTTCTAGGATACGACAACGGCGGTTCCTATCCCAAATTGTGTTATTCGTTCTTGATTTCCTTAGATTTTATCATGGCCTAACAAAAACCAGAAAACACAATGACGACAAGATGAAAGTTTTATAAAGCAAATTAATCGACCAACGGGCCGAGTAAAAGCTAGCAACGATTGTGAGATGCTCATTTCCCAAAAACCAACGGGATAGGCGATTTCTTATTCTATTTTTTGGAATTCGGTTTCTATAAAACTTACTCCACCTCATCATATTACCAGAAACAATATTGTTTCACAAGGTAACATGTACTTGATTTTGGTTCATAATGCCGATTTTTGATTCATTGCATCATTCATGTCTCTTTCCTGCTAAAATTCACTAGTTTTATCACGAATTTCTCAAAAAAAAAAAAAAACATACAACAATAAGCTATACACCGCATTATATTATCAAATTTCATACCTCACCTTCTTCCGGCCACCTGGATGGGGCCCACACTAGTTCGTTTTTATATATAACCCTAGAACCAGAACCATAATAGGTATACACAACCATATTTCCTCAAATCCAGATCTATAAAGCGTTCCAAATACACCACCAATAATCTAGTTTTGAGATTTGAACTTCTCTAATCCTACCAAAACCAAGGTTAGAAGAGCCTCACCTAGATCCGTCCATCTCCATAATCTGCGCCAAAACAAGAAAAGGGTCAGAACTGACCCTTCATCGAGGCAAACAAAAATAAAGAGTAAAAAAAAAACCCACCTGTCAATCTAAAGTCGAACCGTCGTCGGCGGGGGTTCACCGCCGGAGTTCTTAGCAACCAAATCCAAGAAACAAAACATAAGAAAATAAAAGGGAATTAGCAGAACCCCATAAATAAAAATCAAAATACAAAATCGAGCCAAATTAAACTTAACCTTCCTCCTCTCCTCCCACCGGCGGATTTACTCCAGCGCCTCCTAAGATCCTCCTCCCCTCGAGGATCTTACCTAGATCGTTGACTTCTAATCGATTTAGGGAGACTAGAGCCGTCCTCTTGCCTGAATCAAAGGGGATAGCGGCGGCGGTGTTTGATGATGGGAAGGTTTGGTTGAGTTTCTTCTCTAAAAGAGAAGAAGAGTGAAGAAGAGGGAGGCAGAAAAACGAGAGTGGAGAGGAAAAGAGGATGAGCGGCGGCCGATTAGGGTTTTGATTTTCGCCTTAAGAGAGATATTTATACCTGATCCGTCAATGTCGCAATTGCCCCCTAGGGTTTTTTCGTAGATCTACCACTCCAGCCACCGTCCTTCTGAGAATTTACAAAACTACCCTTCCCCTTCACTGAAATAAAATGAGAATCCACAATAATGTTAGTAGCGGGTTTCGAACTTGAGTTCTCAGGGTCAAACGCGCGCTATGACTGGCAACCTAGCCAGTTGGGCTGCTCGCTCAACATCAAGGTTGTCAAACCGGTTTATGCCGGTGTGCCGGTTTTGAAAGTGGAATGGTCCGACCGTGGTACAACCAGTATTCACGCCGGTTGTGCCGGTTTTAATAAAATATATGAGACAAATGAAAATCCTCAATTCCAAATAAATTAGTCATCAAAAAGCAATTAGAAAAATTATTTCACACAAAATAATTTATAGCTAAGAATTGGTAATTAATACTAAATAATTAGATGCTTAAAAATAAAAGTATATAAAATGAATTTTATTAATATTTATAATGATTTGTGTAAAATTTAGTGTTAGATATATAATATATAAGATTAATATGTACAACAAAGTTGCCTGTAGTCTACTGGTGTATAAGAGAGTCTAAAATGAACATGAGGTACATGGTTCAAATCCTAAGGAGGGCATATATTTTTGGATAAAATAGGTGTAACATTGAATTCCGGTTTCTGGTCTAACCGGCCGGAATTTCCGGAATTGACCGGGTCTGACCGGTATTGACCGGATTTGACCATAGTTAAATACCGGCCTCTTTCCAGCCGGTTTGGTGACCGGTACCGGTTGTACCCGGTTGAACCGGCCGGCATGAGACCGGTTTGACAACCATGCTCAACATACATAGATTTAATCATCCCATTCAGTTTTATTTGTTTTAAAATCTTTAATACGAAATGTTGAATGCGGATTAAGTTTATCTTGTTCCTTTTCTAATACATCAAATTTCTTCTTAATAATTAAAATTCTTGCATTTATTTTAGTAACATCATAATAATCTAAATTTTAGTATAACAAAATCTTTAATACGAAAATTACGTTCAGTGGAATGCGATAAAAGTTATAATTAAAATGATCAAAGTTCCTAACGAACTACGTGGACTTTGATCCCGTATTACGGGTACGTAGGCAACCGATAAGGTTCGAGTCCAACTAATCAACTAACTTTATCTTTAAATTTTTACGTCAATGGGCGTATAATTAAATTATAACTAATACGATAAGATCGTTAAATGGTCCAGTGGGACCCTAAAATTACTAAATTATTACTAAAATACACCCAACTAATATAAAACTTATCAAACTTAATTAGTACCGATTTCGGGCGTTGTGGGGTGTGATTTCACTTCCCCACACGTAACCGTACTCCCGAACCCAAATCTCTTAACCGCAGACCATATATCGGTTCTGACCCTAAGGTGAGAGCCGATTCGAAGAGTGTTCGATCCACTCCAACTAAGATCGCAGGCGACTCCCAAAATGCCAACGCGACGACATCGGACCCCGGAGGGACGGTTGCGACACCAACCATCCATCACAATGAGATAAACGGGTTGGGAGGGGTTATGGTGATTACTACAAAATAGTAATCACCATGGTTACTAAGGGTAAATTGGGTATGGAAAAACAAATTGTTTGAATTAATTTTTTTTCAACAAATTACATTTTTGACAGTTACAAAGTTCTATTAATTACAATCCTATCTCTTTCTCTCACTCCTATAATCTCCACTCTCCAGCTAGATCTCCTTTCCTTATTTTTCTCAATCTTTCTGCACACAAAAAAAAGCAAGAAATCACTACCAATTCATTAGGCAACCACTACCACTGCATTGCACAAAACACTAATACCATTCGAGAAATAAAAACACTATCATTGCACAAAACACTAATACCATTCGAGATATAAAAACACTACCATTTCACAAAACAACAATACCATTGCAGATTTAATCGATACAATTACATGATAATCAATACCAATGCGGATAAAACAATACCAATGTGGAAAAACACTACCACTATGAAAGAAATCACTACCATTTCACAAAATAAATCAATACCATTATGAAAAATAAAGATATACCATTTCATAAAACAAAACTTCTACTTGGCCTCCAATTTTTGCCGTTCCTTTTTCCACCATGGAGTTGGAGTTTAGCGGTGGAGGCAAAGGCAGAGCAAGTATGGCGACGGAACATGGTAGGGAGATGGACAGAAGGAGGTGGGAGGCGAGAGAGATGGAGATTTGGGAGCGTCGGCGGTTATGGAGATGGGATGAAACAAGGGACAATGACGTAGACAAAGCAGTCAAATCGGGATTTTACCTAAAATCGAAAACTGGGGTAAAATCGGAATCGTAAAATCGAATCGTAGGATTTTAAGTACCACATAGAAATTAACATATAATAATATTAATAAGGTAAATCATTAATAACACAAAGACATATACCATTTAAAATGATAATTTTCAAGACTAATGTTCCAAAATTATCATTTTAATTGTTATTTGATGCGTAACTCAAAATAATTTATGAGGAAGGGATAAAGCTCATGGGGTTTGGCTCTTGTTTTTCATGTTATGTCTAAGTAGTTTAACTCAAAGTAGTATTCCGACATCGTCTACTAAGCATGATTTAAAACTAAGAATAAGTGAAGTCCAATAAGAATTTTAATGTCATTGGTTTGGTACAAATATATTCGTTAATCAATTAATTTGTTAATAATGATGTTAATTCTTTCGTACTTACAATATTATGACAACTATTTTACCGTTGAGTTAAACAAGGGGAAGGAAAAATGATTGATCGAACCCTAATTAGGTTATTTTTTTCCTTTCCAAAAGTTCTTTTGATAGGAAAAATATCTGAGAAGATCTCCGTCATTGTCCTTTCCACCAAAACAGCTCTGTTTCTTTTGAATTGGCTCAAACTGCCTATTTTGTTCACATAGGATCAAAATCCCGATTTTGGTACGATTTTAATCTCGATTTTGAACGATTTTAAGGTCCACCGATTTTATATTAAAATCAGGATCGGAATCCCTAAAATCCCGATTTTGACTGCATTGGACGTAGAATGGGGTTACATTAGGTTTTAGGTAAAATATATATAAATCAATTTAATTAAGGATAGTAATCAGGTATGGTATAATTTTCGTTCCCAAAATTACCCTTAATCTAATCTTGATTGTCAATTTAAAAAAGAGACGAAATAGAGGTAATTAACGGTGTAGATTTTAGTAGTTACAGTGATTACTAAAAAAGTATTAATCACCTTAACCCATTCCAAACGGGTTTGACAACCTTGAACAAAATCTTCTAATTAATACTAGCTTTTTTCACCCGGCCATTGGCCGGGCAGTTTTATTGATTATTATTAATAATTTGAAGTTACATTTAAATGATTTTGTATCTAATATTGATTAAATTTATCACAAAAATGTTGTGTTTGACCCATCTAACTCAGGATGCGAACAATGATATTTGTTGGTGTGGGGTTGACTCACGATCCGTTCGTCCAATCTCGTCGGGAGGGAGAGAACCTGTGAAAGAGTCGGGGATGCCCCCCGGATTAAGCTCCGACGATCAAGTTAGTATAAGTTTCTGGAGAGAGTTGAGAGAATAAGGTAGAGAGATAAAGTGTAGAGAGATAGTGGAAAGTGGAAAGTGAGGAGAGAGAGAGGAGTCCCCCTCTTTGGAGGGCTTCAAGCCCTTATATACCTGTAGCGGGTATCGAGCGTTGGGCATCGCCGATTATGCGCCCTACTGCTTAGTCTGTGCGCTCTGTCCCTTAGTAACACCCCCAACAATTGCCCCCCAAGCTGGTGGTGAGTTTTAATTCATCACTAGCTTATATTTTATTTTTTAAATCTTTGTCGGTAATTTTGGGTGGGGCCTATGTACCCCAATTGCCCCCCAGCTGGTGGCGCGTTTGAGTGACGCGGCGCCAGCTTCTTGCGTCTTGCCCCCCATTAGCGCCATTAACGCTTAGGATAGTAAAATATTTTAAAAATTTAATAATGATGGAGGGATAGAGTACTTAGCTTTATATTGGCAGTGGCGGCAGGAGTAGTTGAAAGGCGGGCGCTGCGCCGTTGAAACAGAACCTGAGTGGTAGCCTGCAGGTTGTTCTTTCGAACTGGGCGCGAATAGTGCTGGACTATTGCTAATTTTTGTTCTTTCGAACTAGGCGCGAATAGTGCTGGACTATTGCTAATTTTTTGTTCCGTGGAACTGGGCGCAGAGTGCTGGACTCATACTAATTTTTTGTTCTTTCGAACTGATTGGGCGCGAATAGTGCTGGACTATTGCTAAGTTTTGTTCCGTGGAACTGGGCGCAGAGTGCTGGACTCATACTAATTTTTTGTTCTTTCGAACTGATTGGGCGCGAATAGTGCTGGACTATTGCTAAGTTTTGTTCCGTGGAACTGAGCGCAGAGTGCTGGACTCATACTAATTTTCTTTTTTTTTGTTCTTTCGAACTGATTGGGCGCGAATGTTAAAATTCAGACGCCACACCGTTGAAACACAAGGTACTTGTGGCCTGCTGGTAGAGATGCTTGTCTTGTGGAAGAGTGGCGCAGGTTCAAAGGCTGGCGGCGACAATAATTTTTTGTGGAAGAGTTAAGCGCCTGTTGGGCCGGGCATGTGAACGAAGCGGGCCGATCCGCGTGGAATAGCGAGAGGGATGGGAGTGAGGGCCGTGACTGTGGGCGGACTTCGATTCATGAGTGCGGGCCGCGACTCGGGCTGGCGCGAGCAAAAGGGTAAGATCAACCTTCCGCGCTCAATTGACAACTATTGTTGCGTAGTCCACTGGTTCCGTTTGCTTGCACGCGAATGGTTGGTCAGCGGTTCGACGCCTGTCTACCACCCACGATTTTTTTTTTGGGGTGCCTCGCGCACGACTGAAGGGTGGAGCGGGGCGCGAGTGGTTTTGAGGCGGAAGGTGGGCCGGGTGGCGCGAGCTGAAGGGTGGAGCGGGCCGCGAGTGGGTTTGAGGCGGAAGGTGGGACGCGAGTTGGGCCGCCTGTGAGTCGGGCCGCGAGTGCGCTTGGGCGCGAGCAAGGGTGCAGAAGGTTTTAAGTTGGCCGCGCGCCATTGAAACACAAGGTGTGCTTGTAACCTGCTGGTAAGGATGCTCGTCTTGTGGAAGGGTGGCGCGGGTTCGAATCCCTGTGGCGACAATAATTTTTTGAAGCGAAGCGGAGCTTGGGGACGCGAGTTGTGTGCGGGCCCATCTTGCCGCGCGCTTGTGAACAAGGAGCGAGCCCATGTGGTATGGCGGGTTGTCACGCGGGCTTGAGGACGCGACGGCCCATGTTGCGCGTCTTGTGGGGCGGCGGCGGTTGAGTCCGCATCAAGTGGTGGGCTTAATTGATCCGCCGCGGAGTGGAGCCCTGACCTGGCGGGGCGCGAGCTGTGTGTGGGCCCAGATGGGGTAAGGTGGGCTGTAGACTTGCACGCGAGTCTGGGCCGCGAGTGGAGGTGTGGAGCGGGCTTAAGAGGCGGGGGATGCGCCTGTGGAGATGGGCTGGTGGGAGGCTGATGAGCGGCGGGCCCACATTGAGAACAGCAGCGCTTAGCATAATGTCCGGCGCATTTTGCTCCATTTTCACCTTTTTTTTTTTTTTTTTTTAGTGGGCAAGTGGCCACATTGAGAACTGCACCTGTCTTTTCTTCTGACGGAGAGAGAAATTGATTTGACTATTCCCCCTTTTTGATTTGCCGAGACCACTACTTGTACTTGAGTAGTCCACCTTTTTCAGAGGTCGGCGACAGAACGGGAGGGTGGCGACGTGACAGCAGCAACTGCAGTGACAACTTCTTCTTCGCGTCGTCGGGGCTCCGACCTTGACATGTCGCGGCGACCAGATTTTCTTTCTTTCCAGCTGCTACTGCCTGTGGTTCGCGGAGGAAAGTCCCTTCATGGGGAAGAGGAAGTCGGCGGTGGACCCAGCTGCAAGCTGCTTCTTCAGATCGGCGATCTCCTTCGCCTTGGCGCCGGCGGTGACGACTTCTTCTTCGCGCCGTCGGAGCTCCGACCTTGACATGTCGCGGCGACCAGATTTTCTTTCTTCTTCCCAGCTGCTACTACCTGTGGTTCGCGGAGGAAAGTCCCTCCATGGGGAAGAGGAAGTCGGCGGTGAGTGTCTTGGAGGAGGAGCAGCCGCCGGCCAAAATCTGTAAATTTTACAGTGTTGTTTCTTCGATTGGATCTGGTTTGTCTCGGAAGGTGACGAGGGCGCTCCGGAGAGAGGCAGATCTGATTGAATTGACGAGGAAGACAGATGAGGAGAGGCTCTGCTAGTCTTCTTTTGATTTTTGAGAGTTGATCGACTTTTCTTCTTGTTCGAGCAAAAGAAGATATCCCTGGATCTTGGTGGAATTTCGTTGCTCAAGCTCTTTCCCCTGTTTTTAGTTTCCGCTGCTTGCAGTGATCGATGAAGAATCTGCCTTCCCTTCTTTTGAGTCCGACGAACGAGTGTGTAGCCTGCCCCACGGTGGGCGCCAATTGTTTGACCCATCTAACTCAGGATGCGAACAATGATATTTGTTGGTGTGGGGTTGACTCACGATCCGTTCGTCCAATCTCGTCGGGAGGGAGAGAACCTGTGAAAGAGTCGGGGATGCCCCCCGGATTAAGCTCCGACGATCAAGTTAGTATAAGTTTCTGGAGAGAGTTGAGAGAATAAGGTAGAGAGATAAAGTGTAGAGAGATAGTGGAAAGTGGAAAGTGAGGAGAGAGAGAGGAGTCCCCCTCTTTGGAGGGCTTCAAGCCCTTATATACCTGTAGCGGGTATCGAGCGTTGGGCATCGCCGATTATGCGCCCTACTGCTTAGTCTGTGCGCTCTGTCCCTTAGTAACACCCCCAACATGTTGGATTTTTTTTTATTTAATTACCTTATCAATTCATGATAGTTCAACTCTTTAATACCGACTCATGCTTTTGATGTAGGTTTTTTAACAAATTATTTTTGTTTTAACGAAATCAATAATCGATGTTTTGATTAGCGTCGCCAAGATACTCAAATTGAATATGTTATGATTGGAAGACACTCAAATCTGTCATCATAGGCAATGTACCTGGTGCCTAGTGGTAGAGCCAATTGAGATCAACAGAGGTCATTTGCACCATTTTGACCCCAAAATATAGTAGTTTATGTGCTTATATGATTGTTGAATGAACACAAAATCTCTTTATTATGGTAAAAAAAACTCTACTTTTAGTGGTTTTCATTTAAATATAATGAATACGCTTTGAATCTCGAGTGCTTATGTTCCTTTCGGTAATAAATTAGTAATTTTTAGAAATGAATTTGTAGTTCAAATTTAGAAAATAATGGCATTTTAATGTAATAAAGAAAAGCTTTGTAAGCAGTAAGCACATATGGATAAAATGTTTCGGTGGGTAATACATTCGGTGTAAAGTTTTAAATTTAAACACATCCTTAATATTTGGCTTAAGGATAATTACTACTATTTAGTGGGGAAGGCTAAACTGCCTAGGAAGTTAGCAAAAAAAAAATATATATATATATATTAATCCCGAGAGTTGCGGGGATTCCTCCGAGGCTGACGTGGAGCGCAGCGTTTTCCAATACCTTTTAATATTTGTAAAGACTAAAGAGAAGAGATATATATTATTTAGGGCAATGTCTATTTTTTACCCAAACCTTTTTCATATTCTTTTATTTTAACAAAACCTATTGAATTCCTAAAAATTATCCAAACGTTAACTCTCAGTCAACTTTTCTGTTAGTAATGCTGACTAAGTATGACCATAATGAGTTGACTTCCTACGTGGCGGTCAGAATACCATCATTTACTATTTTTAATAAAAAGATTATCAAAAAATAAAACAAAATCCCACCTCTCACGTGGACAAAATAAGTAACGGTAACAGAATGAATGCCCAGATTTTGATAAATTATAATACATTTGGATAATAAATAGAATTTCTATAGGTTTGGTTAAAATAAAAGAATCTGAAAAAGGTTTGGGTAAAAAATAGACATTGCCCTATTATTTATTAGTTGTTTTTGGCTTTTGGTATACTGGCAGACAGTTACGCTTGATAGGAGTTTAAAAGAATATAATGGTGGTTACTTTTTTTAGCGGTTCCCAAAAAACATATAGGACGTTTATCCGGAAAAAATGATGAAAGAGAAGAGGGAAAAATAGTGCTGACGTGGACACACGAAATGTGAGGAAATTTGAAATGGGAAAGGGGTTTTGGAGAAAGTCTATAATATATTTTCTAGATTTTACATCAAGCATGCACATTTCTTAGCCTTGTTTGTTTTGTTTTCTTCTCCTTGTCATAACGGGCCTCCCCAAATGGGGGATCCCGGGGCCTCTTATTATTCGCATTACTGGACATGTAATTGTGGCCTTGTTATCCACAAATGACAAATTTCCATGCTCGAATTATCATTTCTTATCCCCAATCCCCTTGTCTTTTCCGAATATTTCATCGCCGCCTCTCGGAAGAAAAAGAAATTGGGAAATTGCTTGGAATTTGATCCCCTAGTACTATTCGCCATTGTTGAATCAGGTTACAGACTACAGAGGACTCCGCCTCTCACAACCATCATAGTAAAGCTTTTAGCAGAAGAGCAGAGGATTTCTCCTCCAATGGCGGAAAAGAAGCCTATCGACTCACAATCTGCAACTGGTACTACATCACGACTGTTCCTCTCTGATTCGACATCTTTTGCTGATTTCTTCAACTGGGTTGTGAGCCCTTTGCACAGAATTTCATCCTTGCGATAAATTATGATTCCCATCGTACGCTTGGCAGAGGGGGAGGAGGGTCCTTTATGGTTCTATTTTTATGCACTAGTGAATCATGATTCAGTCTGCTTCTGCAGTTTCGTTATGGACATATGGGATTTGGCTTATTTGATTTGTTTATGTATTGAAGAAGGGAAACATCCAAACATTCACTCCCCAAAACATACCACGGAAACGCATGGAACAAGCAGTGACATTGATGAGAAGACCACCATTGATGAAGTAAAAGGGCCAGGGGTGTTTCAGCGGGCGAAGGAGGAGATCGAGGCGCTCGTCGAAACAATTCATCCCAACAAGGTCAAGGATGATCACAAGTAATTTTCCACATAATAGTATGAAAGCTAGAAGGTTTGGCAAGTATCTTGTTGTGTTATGATCTTTTGGGTTTAGGGTGAGAGATTGATCAGATGTGCATTCAATAGTGGTCATAATACATCTGCTGAATAGATTGTAATATGATGATTCACCATTGTAGTAATTGCTCTATTCTGGAGTATGGAGAAATTTTATGTTATCCCTTGCCTTGTTTCTTTCTTGTGATGTCAATGCTCTCTTTCTGTATGGATGTTTGCTGTTGTTTTTTCATCCAAATTATAAAAAGATTTCTTATTTGTTCATCAAATTCATTCCTCAGACCTAAGGGCAAATGTTGGTCTTGCCTTTAATGCTTGCCTCATACCTATGACTCCATTTTTTTTATCATCGTGTTGCATTCCATCCCATGTCCCAAACTGTAGATATCGTTCATTTTGTGAAACTGTTTATTAGATGTGTAGTAAATTTCCAACTTTCCACAAAACAGAAAGATAGTTGGATAGTAATTGATATGACAAGTCATATAGGCACAAAAATTAATGACTGATGGGTCTCCAAGAAATCATATCAGGGAACTGCCCTTCGATTCAATGCATACAAATGACAAGGCCATAAAGAAATGGGGCAGTAAAAGAGCAGCACTGTTATTAATTAGCTACAAGGGAGTGCATTGAAGGTGTGGAAAGAAGTTATGAACCATTTATGTCCTCAATTTGACAGGAGGCTGGAGCTTGGAATGGGACTTTGTTTTTCTTTTCCTTATTTGTCCTCCTAAGTTTGCTTCACAAAGGAATCACAGCTGATGAAATTGCATAATAGCATCGATTTGTAGGCTGAGGACAATAGTCAGGTAAGAAAACTGCATTGCGTTCCAACATATATAGTGTCATGAAAATGTGAAAGGTGGTGCCTTTAGTTTAGTGGCTTATTTTTTTCCATTAATTCTTTTTCCTGTCATTCACTTTTGGCCAAGTTAAAAGTAGATCAATTTTGTTCCATAATCATTTGTTGTTTTTCTTTTGCCTAGACAAATGGTTGTTTTGATTGGAAAGCATGGCATAAGACAACATGCTTGCATGAAAAAATTTCTTTTGTAGGTGGGAAGAATAGGGTCCCTGTAATTGGGGACTGTACGGGATATCAGCACAAGACTTGTTACACAGCAACAATAGTCCTTTTTTTTTTTGTTAAAAAAGGGCAGTTCTAACTATTAACACTCATATGTTAAGCCTTGTATCTTGTGTTTACTTTCACTTTTGTTCTTGATTATCCAGATCCAGTAATATCATGAATGATTTTCTGGAGTTTTCAGTCCCATAAAATCATTACCAAATCAGCCATTTTGTATCAGCAGCGGATCCTGTAAAAGGCCAATCAATGAAAAATGGTGAGATGAGAAGAACCGAGCTTTGTTCTTTATTACTTTCTGCTACCTTTCTGGCGGGCATTCATTTACTTGCCATTTCCCCACAACAGAACCAAAAAAAGTGACAAATCTTTGATTACATGATTTGCTATATTAGCTGGCCATTTGGTAATCAAATTATCAAGTTGCTGGAATCTCTTATTCATCGTAATTGTCAAAGTTTATATGTGTCTGTGGTTTGAACATCTATTGCAGTCTTGCAGATGTACTACTGGAAGGGCAATGAAGGAGAAAGGAAAGAAAGGGAGCGAAAGATGAAGTAGGAAGAATAAGCCAAAAAAATGAAGTTGCGAAATATATATTCCTTTCTTATTTACAGCTTGGGATGATTGATATGACGAAGGGCAAAGAATCACTAGCCTGAGTGCTTCCCAGCGAACCAACCTTTGTGGGTAGGTGTTGACCTTTGGTATAGCTATTTATTTCATTGAACAAACTCATTAAATGGTTTGTTCCGACACCAGTACTGCGTTGTTCTTAGACAATTGATTGGCTCTTTTGTTTTTTATTTCCCGGTTTATCACATTTAAAAAAAGTGTCACTGCAACTGGAATCCCTTTATCCCCAAAACCTTTTCGCCATCCATCCATGGGAATGAAACTATGAGAGGGGAGGGTGGTGTCTCTGCAGTCTAGACTCTAGACTATGTTAAAAGATTAAAAAGAACTCTTTTTCCTTTTCATTTGTGTTATCTTCTGAGAAAATTTTGTGGTGTGCCATTTGCATGTATTTTCTTCCGGTACAACTAAAATAGGTAGTTGTTATTTTGGGTGCAGAATCGGATCAGCTGTGCTGCATTGAAGTACAATCCTAGAAGGATTTTTAAGCGGAAAGAAAGATATGGCTTGTTTTCAAACGTTAAGCAACCAAAAGAGTGTTGGGAAAAGATTATATTTTTCTGATTCTACTACACAACATGGTCGATCCTTCTGATGAGTTGTCAAGTGAAGAAGACAAGAAACTGAAGATCACTTCACTTGTCTTAGAAGCAATATCTCTGAATCTCTCTCTCTCTCTCTCTCTCTCTCATTTTCTCTCTGCTACACCTAGAAGGAAAACTAAGAGAAACCCAAGAAAACTATTGGGAGCTCTTTGGAGGGTTCTGCCTTTTGGGGAAATACTGTTATTTTTAATCCAGTTTCAAAGCTTATGGCTTTTTGTATATATATGTGGAGGCAGAGTTTTCAAAGTAATCATGCACGATAGTAGTTGTTGTAGTGTGAGAGCTTCCTAAAGAATCAGCTGCATATTCCCTTCACTTCTGTCTCTGTCTGTGTTTGACATAGTTGGTCATCATTTCCAATCCAGAGATCATCATCATTAGTCAAGAGGGTAGGCAGCTGGCTCTCTTTCTACATAAGACCCGCAATGGATCCCAAAACCATCACTACTTGCTCTCTTCTTCTTCTCGTATTAGCTCTGCAAATGAACTTGGTCTGTTCCACAAGTAGGCCTCTTACAGCTAATCAACCAGGTAAGCAAGTTGTCTCATTTCACTGCTTCTTTTCTTCTGCTTCTTAATGAAAATCGGTGGCTTAAAACTTCCTTCAATCCTCTCGTCCGATGATTGTTTTCCTTACCAGTGGTTAGTCAGCAACCATCATAGTATGTCATGGAAGTAGAATTCGGAACCCATCTGAGCTCAAATCAGGTACTTTCTGGTTTGCCTGTTGCCAAAACAGCTTCTTTCCTTCAACATTAAAATTTCAGCTTTTAACCATGAGAAAATGTGGGAACTCTTTTATAGGGGATTCGTGAGGAAGCTTATTACTCGAAAGGATTTGGGAAAATAGGATCAAGCCCACCAAACTGTGAGCACAAGTGCTATGGCTGCTCACCATGTGAAGCAACTGAAGTGCCTACAACTAGTAGAAGCCACAGCCATGGCCTGAGATTGAGCTATGCTAATTATGAGCCAGAGAGTTGGAAATGCAAATGTGGGCCTTCTTTCTACAGCCCGTGAAAGAGAAGAGATTAATGATTACTATTCAGGGATTCCTGACTTTTGAGGGAAAATATGAACTTGAGTTAGATAGTCACATTTATAGATTTAGAGGGTTGTCTAATCGTTTGTGTTACTGATCCTGTATGTGTAGGAGATTACTCTGTTTCTGTTTGTGTACAAATTTTGTTCTGCCGATTGTCTTGATTATTTGAGTAGTCAGGGAAAGGAAAAGAAGAGGTTTTGCATCATTTGTAATATTGCTATTGCACTCTATGACGTTGTTCTTTGTTCTTTTTGTGGAATGCGAAGGTGCTCTTCAGTTCTTTGTTCTCTGTTTTCGAGTATGTTTTGGCATGATGTAAAACACATTAAAGCCAGTTTTTCATTGTTAAGGCATCATCTTCCCATGAGATAAACCATGAGGGGTAGTGACTTATTTCCTTTTTTTTTTCTCAATAAAACTTATTTCCTTTGTTGGATGTGTTTTCGAGACAAGCGATTGCTAATGAATTAAACTCATTGTGTATATATAAATTTGTGCACATGTGCTACAATGGGATATATCAACCACCATGAGTTTGTATGTTTAAAAACGAATTTTGGGTTGTTTTGATGATATAATGCAATGAGTCAATTTGTTCTAATTGTTTTAAAATGAAATTATTGTGTCAAACTAATTTGTTTGGCAACACAAAATAAGGATGCAATAATTTGGTTAAGGCAATTTGAATTGCCTTGTTTTATATTATTTTGAATTGCTAGGTGGAGAGACAAGTATTTTGAAATGATACGTTTTTGTGAGGCAATTGTCAGATATTTCAAAAATCCACCATCCAATAGACTCTTTAAACTAGATGGGAAAAAAACAATGTCCCGACTATTTCTACTAATCGGGAAATTGGAGGATCGATAGAGCAAGAAAATGAAAGCAAGAAACGAAATAAGACACACGATTTACGTGGTTCACTAACACAATGTGTGTTAACTAGTCCATGGACAGGAGAGAGCCAGTTTCACTATACTTCGAGGAGATACAGATTACATAGGAGTTTGAGAAGTATTTATCGTACTTCTCCATGTGGTCTAACCTTAATCCAATATGATAAGAATAAGGTTACAAACCAGGCCCAGAATAGAAACTTACATGTGTATAAACCCATTCACTGTGGATAGTAAACAAGACAACCAAAAACTTTCAGTAAAGAGTAATTAGCTGGCTTACTAGACCACACACCATAAGGAGTTTTGCACTCGTTACCTGTGTGAGGTCCACGGTCGATGAGGTTGCACGCCATGTTTACTGCTTCTACATAGAACCTTGTTAGTGGGTCTTTGAAGAAGGTGGTCCCCAATGGGGTATCGCCATATTTAGGATTCAATGAGATACCTCTCAAGTCCAACATTAGAGAGCATGCTTGCTCTCTCCAACAATGTATGTTTCATCCTTTCTTCGCTGTCATTCTACTGTGGAGTGTCTCTAACAGTCCGATGACGGGCAACCCCTTCATCCTTGCAGAATTCGTTGAACTCAAAATTACAGAACTCCTAACCATTAGCGATTCAAAGTATCATGATCTTCATTTAGGTATGATTCTCCACCAAGGCCTTCCACATCTTGAACTTCTTGAAGCCTTCACTTTTCTGCTTTATCATGAAAATCCAAGTAAATCTTGAGTAATCATCAATAATAGACAGAAAATACATGTTGCCTCCAATATATTCAACTATTGAAGGACCGTAATAGACAAAGTGGAGGTAATCCAATATCGCATTCGTCCGGTGGATACCCTTATTAGGAATCTTACTGTGATGTAATTTTCCAAACACACATTGTTTGCAAAATTCTAAACTCTGCACCTTGTGCCTGCAAAGAAGATCTCTCTTCGACAAAACTTGCATCCCACATTCACTCATATGATCCAGTCTCATGTGTCAGAGAGTTGTCATATCTTCCTAATGAACCTAAGCTGATGCAACGACAGCAGAACCTGACAAGTGACAACACATATCCTTGCAATGCATACAAGATGCCATGCTTCACGCCTTTCAGTACCTTCCTTGAACCTTTACAGACATACAAAACTCCACATCTTCTCTTGAAACTAAGACCTTTGTTGTCGAGAAGACTTAAAGAGATCAAATTCTTTGTCATTTGTGGAATATCCTGACATCGTTCACGGTACAGAATGAACCATCATGTCTGAGACCCTAGCCTGATTTCCAACCACGACTCTTATATCACTTGTCACGACTATTTCTATGGATCGGGAAATTGGAAGATTAATAGAGCAACAAACGAAACAAGACACACGGATTTACGTGATTGACTAACACGATGTGTGCTAGCTAGTCCAAGGGCAGAAGAGAGCTCGTTTCACTATACTTTGAGGAGATACGTATTACATAGGAGTATGAGAAGTATTTATATTACTTCTCCATGTGGCCTAACCCTAATCCAATATGGTAAATAATGAGGTCACAAAGGTGTATAAATCCATACACCATGGCTTCCAATCATAGCCAGATAGTCTGGTTCAAGACATATCAACATACACATTAAGTGAGGAGGGAAACAAATTGGATGCAAATCTTTAATTTGATTTAGCATCCATAATAGAATATGAAAAGTAACTAACTTTCATCTCACTCACGATCACAAACTTGCTCTATCATAAGAGAGACACTATTCAAATCAGGTAGAAAGATTTTAGCAGCTGAGGCTATCATCATTGGTATGATAAAGATGCAAGGTTTTCAATGGAGAGAAAGGGGAGTCTTTACTATCTTTACCCAACGGAGATAAAGATACAACGGTTTTAATTTGATCATAATAACTTTTAAGGATTATGTGAAATTTAGAAGATAAATGCAGTGATAGTTCAAGGTTGCATGTTAAATGGCAAAAGGATTTCCCAGAATATTAAATATGAGAAAAGTTCGAGCCAGACAAATATATTAATCCTAATTACAACTGTGTCATTTTGATTTTAGAAGAAAAATGAATGCTTCTTTATCAAGGACACACAAATCTAAAGATTGACCACGATTGTATGGTTGTTCTAGTAATCATATTATATTGATAATAAAAATGGTCACACAAGTTTTAAGAAGTTAACAAACTACTTGTATAAGTGTGTTAAGATCAATGTGAGTGTAACTACCAATGTTAGTATGCATAAATTATTCTTTGACATAAGCCGATTTACTCTTTTCAATTTGAACAACTCCTTCAATTTTAAACACACATTAATCATTTCACTTTTACTATATGATGAATAAGTTTTGATTATACTATATTGCTTCATTTAAAAAAATCCATCATGCAAAAGACCCCTTAAATTAGATGAAAAAACACATTAAGTGAAAAGGGGAAAATTTTGGAAACACATGCAAAGCATTCATTAACGAGTTCGATGCAAATCTCTAATTTGATTTAAAACGGAGAACGAAACATGAAAATTGCTTTTTTTGTCATAGGTATCCCACGAGGGGAAACAACAAGATACGAGATTATGAGTACAAAACCTTTGCAGGTCGAATCACAAAAGATAAAAAAACTTATTGCATCATTAGAGAGACATTATTCAAATCAGGTAGTAAGATTTCAGCAACAGAGACTATCGTCATTGGTACAATGGAAGATGCTAGGGGTTCATTGGAAAGAAATGAGAGAATCTTTACTATCTTTCCATATACAAATGGTGATATGGAGAAGGCAATTGGGGAAGTGCTTTCAACTACATGACATGATTTCTTCTTGGTACACCGAACACTTACTCGATCTTTTCTTTCCTCCTCCTATATATGGGTAGCTGCACTTCAAGATGCCTCTTCACGATCTCCGAGGGCTCTTTTTTATGCAGTACCCTTTTCAGCTCATGGTCGTGGAGATCCATCTACACAAATAAATAAATAAATAAGATGCAACCACTTTTGTATAAACTAGAAGAAGAATCAAACACCTAAAACAACACAGAAATCAAACAACTAGAACACCACATAAATTAAACATAAATGGTCCCTCAGCAACAGACCAATAAGTATTGAAATCGAAGACACATAGAGGAGATGAGTAACTGGATAACTCCAATTGAATAGAAAGAACAACAAAAATTATGTTCTCAAATCACCAAAACCTAATTTTGTTTTCAACGAACTATATGCATACCAAGAATCAACAATAGAGAAATTAAATTAAGAGTATGTGAAATTGGAAATAACGGAGTAGCAAGAATTGAATTCCGACAAACAGCTTGACATGAGATGATGAAGATAGAGAAGTAGGCAGATATCACGATTTATTTGAACAGAACAAGAGAATTCCCTTTTATGAAATCACATAATAGAAACCAGAAGCCAAGCAGAGAAACTAGAAAACATACCAGAACTGAATTCAACGAAAAAATGTGGAAACATAAATTGAAAATCAAACTACAACTAGGCATTTAAAAAAGGGTAATGTCTATTTTTTATCCAAACCTTTTTCAAAATTTTTTATATTATCCAAACCTATTAAAATGCTATTAATTAGCCAAATCTTTCGCAATGCATCAAAATATTAGCTATTTTTACGTCATCGTTAATAATTTTGTAACTCTTTTCTTAGTTAAAATACTAAAATTTTGCAATGTTGACCTTCATGTGTCTCTTCCAAGTCAGTATCATGTTGGCAAGTCAATATTACTAAAAAAATTGCTAATGGAAAGTTAACATTTGGTTAATTCTTAGTATTTCGATAGGTTTGGATAATATAAAAGAATCTGGAAAAGATTTGGATAAAAAATAGACATTACCCTTTAAAAAATCATCGAAGGTGACCTAAGATAACGGGATCTCGATAGCAAATGAACATGAATGGAATCGATGGCAAAGAAGGAAACTAGAAAACAGAGCCGAAATAGAATTCAACGAAGAATGCAAAACCGGAAATCTCCTTGAAGAACGTTG